TCTGTAACCTCATTTGTCTGCTATCACAGGATCTCAAAGCAGCCCTTCCCTCCCCTTGTGAGACTCCTCCCTGGGGTGAGACTCACCAACGGGGTTGCAGTGAAAGAGAGGGTTGGGAATCAGAAGTAGTGTGGGGCTGAGTTTAAGAGCTAGACTCTAGAGTTAGACATCTTGGCTTCCATCCAGCTAAGTGACCTGGGACCATCTGAGCCCAGGTACCCTCTATAAAAAGCAGGGATGAAGCAGAGCGTGGTGGTGCTCACCCATAATCCCATCACTTGGGAGCCGAGGCCACTGTGAGTTCAAGGCCAGCCTAAACTACATAGTGAGACCCTGTCTCAGAAAACGAAACAAAAAGCAGGGATGGTGATGATCATAGTACCAACTTTATGGGGTTGTCATGAGAATTAGAGGTTGAAGGATGGTTGAACAAAGAGTGAGTATAAAAAATGAACAATGAGGGACTAGGGATGTAGCTAAATGTTAAAGTGCTGTCCTAAGCATGAGTAAGACTCTGGCTTCCATCCCCAGCAAGAGGCAGGGCAGTAGACAATCAGGAGCATCTTCGAGGAAGAAGTCATGACGTTCTTTCTTTCCTCCTTCAGGCCTTTTGGGGGAGGGAGAAGTGAGGCTTCAGTAGGACACCAGGGACAGCAATTTACCTAGACTCTGTCTCAAAATAAAATTTATTTCTTTATCTATTTATTCATTTTGGATTTTTTTTTTTTTTTTGGTACCAGGGATTGAACTCTGGACCTTGCACTTTCGAGGCAGGTGGCAGAACCACTGAGCTAAATCCCTGGCCCTCACCTTGGATTTTTGAGACAGGGTCTCTCTAGGTAGTTCAGGCTGGATTTTGACTCACTATGTAGCCCAAGTTGGCTCTGAACTAGAAGCAATCCTCTTGCCTTAGCCTCCCGAGTACTGGGATTACAGGTGTGTGCTACCAGGCCTGGCTCCAAAATAAAATTTTTTAAAGGGCTGAGGGTGTAGCTCAGTGGTAGAGTGCTTGCCTAGCATGAACAAGGGCCTTGGTTCCATTCCCAGTAGTGGGAGAAGAAAAAAATCTGCATTTTTTCCACCAAATATTATTGAGTACTTACTATGCGTCAGGTGCTTTCATAAACTAGCATGGTGCCTGGCCTCACCAGCTTGCATTCTAGCTGAAGAAAGAGAACAGATCCCTGCAGATTTCAGTGAGCTTTGAGGTCACTAAGACGGTAACTATGGTCAAGGACGCATCTGGAAGAATGAACATTTGAGTTGAACCAAGAAGGAACTAGCCATGGAGACATCCAGAAAAAGAACATGTGGCCCTGGGCAGAAACAAGTATGGAACTCTAAAGTCATCAGAAATAGTCGATTTTGAGGTATATTAACAAAGTGGACAAAAAGGAAGAGGGTTTTTGAATTTGTGGGAAAGAGGTGAGACTTCTAGGCACAAAGAGAAAACTAGAAAGGCTTCACAGCTGTGCAGTCCAAAAACACAGAGTCAGGGCCATTGGTGTCAGTTTCCTCATCTAAAAACTTGGAGTAAAAAAGGACAACAACAACAACAACAAAACTCAGAGTGTAGGCCGGGCATGGTGCCACAAGCCTATGATCCCAGCACTCAGGAAACTGAAGCATTCGATTGCTGAGTACGAGGCCACCCTGGGTTACATAATGAGTTCAAGGCCAGCCTGAGCTGCATAGTGAGATCCTATCTCAAAAACAAACAAACAAACAAACAAACAAAACCCAACCCCCCAAAAACTGTGGTAATAGAAAAAAAAAAAACCGAAACCAAAAACCAAACCAAATCTGACCCTAAAATCATTATTGCCAGAATTCTTCGCATTCCTACCCCGTCTCCTCCTCCTCCTGCCATGGGCATTCCAAGAAAAAATTTAGATTTTTTTCTGGGTATGGAGCTCAGCCTCAGGCACACTAAGCACTCTACCTCTGAGCTTCTAGCTGATTCCTGAAAGCAGAAAACAGGCACATTACACAGGTCTGTAAAAATTCGAGGGAACCACTCTGATCCTCAAAAGAAAATGTATCTTTTTCTGGTAGCGGGGATCAAACTCGGGTCCTTGTGCTTGTGCAGCAGGCAGCGAAACCACTGAGCTAAATCCCGGGCCCTAGAAAATGTATTTTTGCCTCAAGTATATTCCAGTCTGTCAATAGAGTACAATGCAGTATAATCCTGAAATTACCTTTCAAAATGCTTAAATGACCTCTTAAACAAGATTGAGCTGGCCCTTGCTTAACCAGTAATCCCAGCCGCATATTCTCCTTCATAAAATGGGTAAATAGAAGTGTATTTTGTTGTTCTTTTGGGGAGGGGTGTTGAGAGAGGGTCTCAATATATAGTTCAGTGTCTTAATTACCTTCCTCAATGAACTACACCTCTTTATATATGACTTTTTTTTTGGTACCGAGATAGAACTCGGGACCGAACTCAGGACCTTGTGCTTGCGAGGCAGGCGGCGGCACCACTGAGCTAAATTCCTGGCCCTATATATGACATTTTATTCAATACCCAACAAATATTTACTGAGCAGCTATTTTGTGCCCTAGGTGCTAGGGTAACACCGGTAAATAAGATCAATAAGGCCCTTGCTCTAATAGAGTCCAGTGGGGGAAAAAGACAATAAACAGAGAGACAATTAATTTCAGAAAGTGATAAACACTAAGAAGAAAACAATGATCCAGTGGAGCCAAGCTTTCTAGCTAAAAGACAGGCCACCCAATTTAATGTGAAATTTCAGATAATGTATGACTTCTTAGGGTAAGTATGTCCCATGCAATATTTATACCAAGATGTATTTTATTTACTTTATTTCTTGAGAGTCTTCCCATGTAGTTCAGGCTGGCCTTGAACTCATATGTAGCCCAAGCTGGTCTTGAACTTAAAGTGATTCTCCTGCCTCAGCCTCCCAAGTGACGGGATATGAGTATGCACACCTCACCCAGCTTTCTAAAAATGCATTTTTAATAAAATTCATATTAACTAGGCATCCTGTATTTTATTTGCTAAGTGGTGTGCTGTTGGGTGGTGAGGAGTGCACAAATTCAGACAGGGTGAAAGGCCTCTTTGAGGAAGTGACATTTGAGCTGCAACCTGAATGTAAAGAAGGAATAAATCATTCAGGGATCTAGGGGAGCATCCCAGGCAGAGGCTCTGAAGTGGGAAGAACAGCAAGAAGTTGTGTGGTGGGTGAGCTGAGTCACGGAGACGGGAGGAGGGAAAGCAACAAATGCAGGCAGATTGATGGGGCTTGCAAGCCAGGATAAGAGGTGTCATGAAACTGACATCCATCATCCCTTCATTCAAACTAAGCAACATTTTATCTTATTTATTTTTGTGGTTGTTATGGTTTGGGTCTAGATGTTCCCTCAAAGCCTCATGCAGTCATAGGTGGGTGAATCTACAGTGTGTGATGCTGGGATTAAGAGTGTGTGATTACTAAACCACAACATGTGAGTGGTTTGGCACCGCCCTAATCCCGCTAGTCTGAATAAGATAAAAAGAAGCAGAAAGGCACTGTGAAGGTCTCTTGTTGCTTTTGCTGTGTTCTCTTGCCATGAACTGTTGCCCCTCTGCCACCCTGCCTTGGAGCCAGCCGATGATGGACTGAACCCTCTACAAACTGTAAGCCAAATAAACACTTTCCCCTTTAACTTTGGGTGTTGGGTATTTTGTCTCCTGAGAGAAAAGTAACTAACACAGTGGTACTGGGGATTGAACCCACGGCCTTCACATACATACAGAGCTTTTTATTTTTCATTTTGATAAAGGGGCTTACTTAATTGGTAAAGGCTTTAATTTTTTTTTTTCCTTGGTACTGGGGATCGAACTCAGGATCACCAGCCATAAAGGGTTTAACTTGTTATCCTCCTTCGTCAGCCTTCCAGAATGCTGGGACTACAGGCCTGTGCCACGAGAATTGGCTAACATTTTACATTTTATTCACAGGTATTGAATTTTTGCATTTGTAAACAGGCATCTATGTAATTCTGGGCTCTACTTGTTTTATCAAATAATGACCATATGCTGTGCCTTTCAGTTTCTGGAGCAGCAAACTAGCAATTCCAACCATGGGCTCTGAGTGGAAGCAGCAGGGTCTGCTAAGAGAGGCGGAGGTGACCAAAGCCGAGGGCTGGGATTTCAGTAGTCACCACTGGTTCCTCTTTCCCAAAGGCAGTATGTTTATCACAGGATCCTAGGGGCTCTATTTCAAAAACATCCTGAAGCTATCAATTTCTCTCCACGTGCAGTGCCACCCACAATGGCCTCCTCACTGGCCTCCCTGCTTAAGGCCCTTTTCCTCCAAGATAGTCCATTCCCGCACAGGAATGGATGAGCCTTTAAAACTATAAATTTGGTGGTTATCTTGGAATGGATGCACTTAAGACATGGTCCAGATGCTGGCTAACAAAGGCCTACTTCACCTGGTCCGTGCAGGTTTCTCTAACTCTACTTCATTAAACACAGCCTAGCTAGCTCTTTCTCGCCCCAGACCAGGCTGACCTTCACACAGCCGTTTTCTTGTTGAAAGGTCAATCTCTTCTCGTTAAGGGGACCTCCCTGATCATCCCTTTTACCTTCCAAGTCGCTGTCATGTCGTCCTGTTTTTATTTTGTTCTCATAACACTTTACCAAGGTCTGAAGTTCTTGTTTGTTACGTTTCTCTAAAATAGAAGTTCCTTGAGGGACGGAGAATTCTTGAATTTGCATAGTACGTTCAACAGTTAAGAGCTACTACGTGCCAAGCCCTTTCATCAAAGTAGGTCACAACCCAACCACCTGTCGCAGAATCTGCGTTCTTCTCAGAAAGAGCGAGTTTGCGCAGCCCGTTAGAGTAGAACCGAAGGAAAAGGTCAGTTGTGACGTCACGCAAAACCAGAGCGGGGTTTCGATTGGCCCTTCGAGCCTGGGCGGGGCCGGGGCCTTCGGGGCCCTGCCCCACGCCTTGGCCCTTTACACATGCGCTCTGGCTGCAGCCTCGCTGCCGCGCCATTTTGCCTGGGTTTTGAATGTGAGGCGGAGCAGCGTCAGAAGAAGGTACTGCTGGCTATAGTGTGCGGCTAGGATTCCCTCTATCCCCACAAGGTGAGGCGCGGGGCGTGCACGGCTTAGTAGGGTGGTTCTTGGGTCCCAGCTGAAGGAGGGATGAAACGCTCCCGGGACTTCCGAGCGCCAGGCATCGAAGACCGCACCTCTGGGTTAGAGCTGGAATGTAGGCCTCTGCCACGGGCCATGTGCACCAGCCATGACTTCGCCTCCCCAGCCAGGACCTGCCGCATACCCCAGCGTCTGGGCTCAGCGTCTCACCCAACCGCCGCGGGGCCTGTGAGGGGCGAGGGCGGCTGAGGCGCGGCCTGAGGTGGGCCGCTCGGGCGCCCGCCTCTACCCTCCAGCGCTGCTCTGATTGGTTGTGCGGGCGCCTCGTTGCCCCGACGGCTGTTCCTCATTGGTTCCGTTCGTGCGTCAGTTCTCGGCGCGCCGGGCCCCTCAGCGTGAGCGGGCTGTGAGATGACTGGGCCTGTCGGGTTCTGGGGTCCCTTCGAGAGTAGGCGCCCGTGGTCGCCCTTCCGCTGAAGCTGGAGGGGCCTTGAACTCACCTTCCTGTCTTTTCTGCTTCCTTTTCCCTGACTGTAGAGTGGGCGTTTCCATCTCACTTTGCTGAGTTGTGAAGAATAATTTCTAGTCCGTGCACCTGGGGTATAATAAATGCCCGCTAATACGGGGCTCCACCCTCCGGGGGACTTTGGGCTTTGAAATTACGTGGCCTGGACTCCCCGCTTAGCCTGTTCCTGGGAGTGCTATTTAGGGCTAGTCCATTCATCTCTGCGAACCTTCATTTTCTCTGCGGAATGATAGTATAATGAACGTGACTTTGAGGATCCGCTGAGTTATTTACTGTTTGTTAACAGAGGTCCTGCCTGAGCCAACCATTGTCTCCTCCCACCTTTCTCTTTCGCCCCTTAACCACGAGCTGTTCTGACCTGACCTTTTTCTTTTTTCTTTTAGTTTTTTGAGACGGGATCTCACTGTGTAGTCCAGACTGGTCTTAAACTCACTATGTAGACCAAGCTGGCCTCGAACTCTTCCTTCCTCAGCCTCCCTAGTGCTGGCATTACAGGTGTACCGCAGCCACCCTAGTTTAATTTACTCTGTAGCATTCACCTCATCTCACAGTTGCTTGTTTACTTGTTCTTGTCTTTCTGGACTGCTAGGATGTGAGCATTTTAAGGCCAAGGACCTTGTATGTCCTGTTTATGGCTGTATCTCACATGTGCTCTCTGGTTTTGTTTTGTTTTTTTGGTACCGGGGATCGAACTTTGAGACTTTGTGCTTGCGAGGCAGGCGCCGGAACCACTGAGCTAAATCCCCGGCCCACACATGTACTTTCTACATGATGGAGATGCAGCAATATTACTTATCCACAGAGGCACAGGAGAGGACCCTTTATGCTTGAATTCCACCTTTCCTTTTTTTCTTTTCACCTTGGGTTCCCATAGTCATTTCATTGGCTTGTTTGTGTGTCTCCATTTTTGCATAATTCCTGAGGCTCATCTTGTACCTAGTTTCTCCCCTCCCACTCTCATTTTTTCTTTTTGTACCAGGGATCAAACTCGGGACCTTGCACTTGCCAGGCAGGCGCTGGCACCACTGAGCTAAATCCCCAGCCCCCCCCCCCCCATCAGTTTTCCATAATGCAAGGAAATTCTTTCTCTTCTGGCCATTCTCATTTTTACTAGGAAGGGTCTGGGACAAAGGGAAATCATACCCTACACAAGATTGCATGAGTGGGAGAGCAGTGCTCTTGTTTTGGAATTAGTTGCTTCATTAAATAACTTTATTGAACAACTACTTAATCTCTGGGGATACAGTGAAGAAACCAAAATGGACAGGGCGTCTTCTCTTGGGGAGCTGGTACTCTAGTGGGTAAGGGAGAAAACAAATGAGTGACCTAGATTATTTCAGATAATGACAAGTGACAGAATGATGTGACAGAAAAAAGCCTTCTCTGAGGAAGTGATTGAACAGAGGTCATCCAGGAAAAGATGAAGGGAACAAAATTCCAGGCAGAAGGAGTGGCTTTCTAGGCAGAACAATGCAAAGGGTCAAGAACAGAGACAGGCTTTGGAATATTGAAATGTTTTAGGATCATTCAGGTTGCTAGAGTGCTGTGTAAAGAAGTGTTCAGGGCCCAGATCCTATAGGGCTTTGTAGCCAATATAAGAAGTTAGGATTTGGTTCTAAGGGGTAGATTCCCATGATTAGAAAGCAAAGGGTAGGTTGACATGTTGGGGTTTGTTTTTGATGTGTACCTGTTCCAGATGGGTTTCATTTATTGGATTTCTTCTCTGCCAAACTATAGGGCTTCAGGAATGGTTCTGGAATGGGGAGAACTTATCTAAGGAAAGAGCATACATCTTGGATTAGCCTATGTCACAGATTTAGGAGATGTCTGTGCAAAACAAAGCTTTAATTCCAGAATTCATCTATAATTACAGGCCTGTAGGAAGTGGCTAGATACAAGTTCAGCCATTCAATAAACAGGAATTTGGAATTAAGATAAGTTTATTATAATTGATTTATCATGGTTAAGATTGTTACTTTAAGCCAGGTGTGGTGGTGCACACCTGTAATCCCAGCACTCAGGAGGCTGAGGCCGGAGGATCACTGAGAGTTCAAGGCCAGCCTGAACTACAAAGGGAGACCCTGCCTCAAAGAAAAAAATAAAAGATTGTTATTTTAAATTGTTGGCAAGGATTTCCAAAGATCTACGGAGAAAACATTGAACTCTCATTTAAAGGTGATAAAGTAAACCACATGCAGTGACACACACTTGTAATACCAGCATTCTGTAGGCTGAAGGAGGAGGATTGTGAGTTTGAAAACAACATAGATTACATAGTGAGACCTTGTCCCCCGGCCCAAAAGAAAGATGGTAACTAAGGCCTTTATTTTTAATTTTTAAATTTTTCAAAATTTTTTTGGCACTGGGGATCGAACTCAGGACCTTGCAGTTGCGAGGCAGGTGGCAGAACCAGAGCTAAATCCCTGGCCCTGTTTTTGTTTTTTTTTGAGACAGGGTCTCACTATGTAGTTCAGGCTGGCTTTGAACTCAGTATGTAGCTCAGGCTGGCCTTGAACTCAGTGATCCTCCTGCCTGAGCCTCCCCAGTGCTGGGCCTGGCTAATGCATTTTAAATTTATTTTGCAGTGCTATGGATTGAACCCAGGGCTTTGTGTATAGACAAGCACTCTACCACTGAATTACATCCCAGGCCCTGTTTGTTTGCGGTAGTAGGGATTGATCCCAGGGCCCTTGCACTGAGCTACATCTCCAGGCGCCTCTGTAAGACCGTGGGCCTCACCAAACACTCCAAGGAGCTGACTACAGTGAAGATCACCTGGGAGGGAACACACCGGACAAGTTGTGAACGTAAAACAGACCTTTATTAGTCTGGCCAGACAGCACCCTCCAAGCACCAAGCTTAGAGAGGCGCCCAGCTCAGAGTCTGAGGCTCTTTTATAGGGGTCACAAGAGGGAACCTGGCAAGCAGCTGTACAGAAGCAAGACTTTGGCGGTTAGGGGAGTGTAGCAACTGGTACAGAAGTGAGGTGTTCTGCTGTTAGAACATTTGTAAAACAACAGTTGACTCTTGTTTCTAAGAGACTGTCTAAGGGGAGGAGGTTTCTGAGCTTCCTCCTTCTGAGTTCATCTAAAGGGCAGGCAGGTGGGTCAAGCAGCAATATGGAGTCTGTCTTGTTAACAAGGGTCCTTCACCTCCACTTCCCCCCTCCAGTGTTTACCAGTTTAGTATACGGGGTATAACTGAGGCACAGCCAGCTGAGAACTGCTTAGGGCAAAGAATGGAGAGAGTGAGTCAATGCTCGGATTCCCTCTCACTGTCTTCCCTAGTACCTACACAAGTTTACCACTATACCTGCCAGGCTTTTTTTAGTTTTTATTTTGAGACAGGGTCTCATCTCAGTAGGTTGATAAGTTGCCGGGGGCTGGGCTCAAACTTGCGATTCTCCCAGCTTGGCCTCCCAAGTGCTGGGATTACAGTTGTGTGCCAGCACTCCTGGGGATGTTTTTGTTGTTGTTGTTGTTAATCCTGGCTATGGTTATTTCCTCATCTAACGTGTAACTTGAATTTCTGTGTCTGTTATGTTGAGGTTGATCTTCACAGGGTACCCTCCAGTCTTGACTGGGAACTGGTATTTTAGCTGAGTGCTGACACGTTGACTCATCCTATGGTTCAGCAAATCCTCAGAGAAGGTCTGCTGTGTTCCAGGCAGTGTTAAAGGTCCTGGGTATAAGAGACAAGTCCAGGGGTCAGAGATTTAGCTCAGTGGTTCCACTACCTGCCTCGCAAGCACAAGGGCCCGAGTTCGATCCTCCGTACCAAAAAAAAACCCGAGACAAGTCCAAGATAATTTCAAATGAGGATAATTGCAATTAAGGTAGTAAAGAGTTGACAGTGAACTGAGAGCTAAATGGCATCCACTCTCAAAATAGAGGAAAATCCTCTTTCCCTCCCTCCTGCCTCTCTTGTCTGTCTCTGTCTCTTTTCTTTTATTTTCTGTCTTTTTTTTTTTGGTACCCAGGGGTCAAACTCAGAACCTTGTACTTGAGAGGCAGGCATGGTGCTACTGAGGTAAATCCTCGGCCCTCTTTGTTTCTATTGCAGTACTAGGGATTGACCCAGGGCCTTTGCACTGAGCTACATCCCCAGCCCCCTTTTTGCTTTTTGTTTGTTTTTTGAGACAATGTCTTGCTGTATAGTTCAGACTGACCTTGAGTTTGCAGTGGTCTCCCTGCCTCCACGTCCTGAGTGCTGGGATAACAGGTGTGTACCGCCATGCCTGCCTCCTTTTTCATATTTTTATTTTGAGAAAGGATCTCACTAAATTGCCCAGACTTGGTTTGAACTTGTGATCCTCCTACATCAGCCTCCCAGAGTGCTGGAATTACAAGCATGCATTGCCATGCCTTGCTGAAGAAGAGCATTATTGCAGTCAGGGAGATCTGTCTTAGATGGTTTGAGAAACAGAGACTTTGTTGCTGGAACACAGTGAGAGCCAGGAGGAAAGGAGGAGATAAGGTCAGTAGGTTCCAGGTTGCATAGATTATGCCAATTGTGGAGTTTGGATTTTTTTTTGGTACCAGGGATTGAATTTGGAACCTTATGCTTTTGAGGCAGGCGGTGGCACCACTGAGCTAAATCCTCAGCCCCTGAGTTTGAATTTTTAATACCAGTAATTATGAGATATCTAAGAAATTTTGGTTGCAAAAAATTTTTTTTGTTGAGATGCAGATATGCTGAGGAATTTTTTTTTTTTTTTGGTACAGGGGATGGAACTTGGGACCTTGCGCTTTCGAGGCAGGTGGTGGAACCACTGAGCTAAATCCCTAGCCCTGGAGTGTGTTTTTAAATGCAGCAAAATAGATATTATTACTCCCTCTAACACTCCACCCTCCTGTTTGTAACATACCACCTTGCATGAATCCCCAAAGGTAGAATTAATTTGTGTGTGGCAAAGAAAGGGGCCCCCCTTTTTAAAGCTCAAGATATACTGATGTAAATGCTTGTGCTTGGCAACAGCGAATTCTCATGATTTTGTAACAGTTTCAGTATTTTTTTTTGTTGGTACTGGGGATCAAACTCGGGACCTTGTGCTTGTGAGGCAGGTGGTGGAACCACTGAGCTAAATCCGCAGTGAGTATTTCAACACAGAAAAAAGGAATGGGAAAAATGAATGGGCTAAATCACTGCTTTACAAAGTGTATTCATTAGAAAAGGGACTCTGTGGCCAATTAATGGGGAAACTTGATTAAACAGTGTAAACTGGTGACATCTGAGTGAGTTCTTGAAGCCCTTAAAGTACTTCGAATTATGAATCTCCAAAGAGGTCAGGATATAATATGTAGTATTTTCCATGCTTTTGATAGAAAAAACCCCACAAAAAGTAGCTTCTCAGGAAGTTGTATGTGTGCTTGAGCGGGACTTGCTGGTTGGACCTATAGAGTAGATATGCTCTTGGTCAAGGAGAGGGAGTGAACAAATGGGTGGTGGACTCTATTAAATCACTTCCTTTGTGATAAAAGCATTTTTTAATGGGAAGGACTAGAGTAAGGAGAACATAGATAAATTTCAGTAGATCTCCTTAGAAGGTTGTAGTTTCTGGATCCTGGACATCCTGCCTTGTGCATACCTGTGAGCTCATTTCTTATCTTTAGAGAGAGGGAGAGAGAGAGAGAGAGTGTGTGTAAAATGAAGGCTTGTTTTTTTTTCATTCTTTGGAACATCACTGTTCAAAATCTGAGTCATCTTTTTTTTTTTTTTTGGTACCGGGGATTGAACTCGGGTAGGAACCACTGAGCTAAATCCCCGGCCCTGAATCATCTTTAACTATTTCTTCCTTTTCCTGGTTCTCTGGCTACTCTTTCACATGAGCCTTTTGATTGTGTTCTTGGTTCTTCTACTCTAGTTCAGTCAGTCTTCATTCGTTATTTCCACATAAGAAATATCCTTTCGTAGCAGAAAGAAGGTAGGTATTTGGAGCCTTCTGATTTGAATCTGATCTTTATTAATTGTATATAAGTTGAAGCAAGTAAGTTAACCTGAGTGGTCTTCCTTGTTTGCAAAATGATCACTTGAAATAAATGATACACAACAGATAAAATTTAGTACTATGTGCCTGATTCATTCATATGACTTTTCTCCACTGAAGAAAAAGTGAACAGTTCTGTTATTCTCTTTAGCTCCAACTCCCATCTGCAAACCATTACCAGCCCAGAGTTCCTGTACTTCATTAAATTTTTACCTACTTCAGAACATCTTCAGAGGCTTTCTGTTGTATATTAAATCCGGAAGCTCTTCAGCCAAGTACAGGTATTGAGAAACCTATATGGCCTGATCTTAGTTTCCTAGTCCACTATTCTTTCCATTTCTTGTTTGTTTGTTTGTTTGTTTGAGACAAGGTCTTACTATGGCTGATCTTGAACTTGGGGCAATCCTGCCTCAGCCTCCTGAGTGCTGGCTTTACAGGTATGTGCCACCACGCCTGGCTTTCTTCCCATTTCTTGTTACTTCACTCACACTTGCTTTGGAGAGGGATCCTCTTTGTACTTTGCCTGTTTAAATACAAGTATATATAAACACATGTCTTCAGGGTTCAGCTCAAGACTCACAGCCTCTGAGAAGTCCTAGATGGCTTCCCACTCTAATGACTCCTAACTTCTTAGCATTTAAGTCTGCTCCAGGGGATAAATGTGTTTCAGAATTCAAATTTTTTTGGGGGGGTGGGGCACATACTATGGATTATGACATATCCCTAGTAGGGCTTGGGGTAGCACCCTTTAGTCAGACACATTAAAATTTTAAGTTTTGGGCTGGGAATGTAGCTTAGCAGCACAGCACCTGCCTGGTAAAAGAGAGGCCCTGAATTCAAGTCCTGGTACCAAAAAAAAAATTCAAATTTTGCTGCCAAATGAGTTTGCCATATACTTGTGTTTTTATTTATTTTTTAATTTTTTAAATTTTTTATTTTTTTTGGTACCAGGGATCGAACTCGGGTCTTTGCGCTTGCAAGGCAGGCGACGGAACCACTGGGCTAAATCCCCAGCCCTAACTTGTTTTTTTAAAAAACATCTTTTCAGCCCGGCACATTGGTGTGCACCTGACATCTCAGAATTTTATTTTCTTCATATTTTGTACATTTGTCCAATGTCCTACTATTACCTATATGTATTAACTTTTACAGTCAGGAACTTTTTAAATTTTATCCTTTTGAAATGTCTGTGACAAAAGGTAATCACGTTTTTACCCTTAGAGGAGCCTTAGTGCTGGTTCAGAACACTAGGTGCATCTAAAATGCCAAGTACTGATCTGTAATCCCTTTTTGCAGTCTTGACATCCAAAAAGTTTGTGGACCTGGTGTTGTGTGCCTATAATCCCAGCGCTGTGGAGACTGAGGCAGAACAGTTGCTGTGAGTTGAAGGCCAGCCTGAATTGGTCACAGCCTGATTGGTTCTCTGGGCTTAGATAGATCCCAGGCCATAGGACCCTACCCAGGCACCATCTACATGTACATTCCTAGGTGGGCTTTGTTTGATTTTTCTCTCACCTGCTTGTGCTTGTCAGGGCCTTATCTCTGGGATTTATAGGTTGGTTAGGAGGGTTTACATACAAGGTTGAGTTAGTGATCAAAGGGATGCATGTGTATCTAGTAACATAGTGACCCTAGAGTGAGAGTACATACGTGTGTGAGTGCATAGGTGTGAATTTATATTTTATATAAGTACTACTGTTAGGTAATGTCTGTCCCGTGTCCCCCCCCCCCCAATCTCCTTTGCATTTTACTGGAGGTAAGGTAAGGAAAAGTGCTAACTTGGTTAGGGCACCTGACTTTCTTGAGCTCTGCTTATCAGCTCTCCTGCTTTTGTCTTGTTGATGGTTCCCTGCAGTAAAGTTTAACTATTCAAAATTTGCCAGAAGACTTAATGAGGCCCTTATTATGTCCTTTCCCTATCTACAGACAAGGACACACACACACACACACACACACATGCACGCGCACACACACCCACCCCCACCCACCCACCCACCCAACCGGGACCACCGAGCTAAATCCCCAGTCCTCCCCAGCCCTTTTAATCTTATTTTGACACATGGTTTCCTAAGTTGCCAAGTTGGTCTTGTACGCAGTCTTCCTGCTTCAGCTTCCTGAGTAACTGGTGTTTACAGGCATGCACTACCATGCTTGGCAACATTTCCTTTTTTTTAATTGACAAGATTATGTATCTCATGATGTTTTGAAATATGTATATGCCATAAAATGCCTAAATCAAGTTAATTGACATGTATTACCTTGCACCTTTTTATTCTTTCCAGTGTTGGGAATTGAACCTAGGACCTTGTGTGTACTAGGCAAATGCTCTGTTTTGTGTGTGTGTGTGTGTGTGTGTTTGCATGTGGTAAGAATACTTAAAACCTACTCAGTGATTTTCTAGTATATGGTATTGTATATTGTTATTAATATAGACAGGCTTTATAATAAATTTCTTGAGCTGTATGGATATTTCTTAACGTATTTGTTATATCTATATAGGCCATTTAATTTAAAATTTATAATGTTAGATGTGGATTTTTTTCAGTCAGTATAATCTGTGAATTAGTGCTGTTTAAGCTTAAAGGTTTTTTTGTTTATATTTTGTGCTACTGCAGATTGAATCTAGGGCCTTTGAACTGAGCTACATAACCTGGCCCTTTTATTTTTTATTTTGAGACAGGAACTTGCTAATTCACGGTGTCATGCAGGCTGGGTTTGAATTGATGATCTCCCTGTCTTGGCCTCCTAGAGTGCTGAGATTACAGACATGTACTACTATGCCCTGCTGAAAAAATGTTTTCTAAATCACAATCACAACCATCATTTTCTGAACTCTAGAATTACCTCCCTAAATGCAAAATCTCAGCAGGTAGTTTGTTTGTTTGGTTTTTGGTTTTGGTACTAGGGATTGAACTTGGGTCCTTGTGCTTTCAAGGAAGGCGGTGGAAGCACAGAGCTAAATCCCCAGCCCAGCATGTAGTTTGTAATGAGTACTTATTGTTGCATGTTGTATACAAAAGTGTTCTACTTTAATCTCAGAACTTTCTATGCTTTGCTTTTTATTCATGCTGGGGATTGAACCTAGGGCTTTGGACACGCAAGGCAAGTGCTGTACCATTAAGCTACATTCTTAACTCTATGCATATATTTTGTTGTGTTTTGTTTTGGTTTTTTGTTTTGTTTTGTTGGTACTGGGGATCGAACTTTGGTCCTTGCGCTTGCACAGCAGGCAGCAAAACCACTGAGCTAAATCCCTGGCCCCTTGTTTTGTTTTTTTGAGACAGGGTCTCACTTTGTAGTTTAGGCTGGCCCTGAACTCACTATGTAGCCCAGTCTAGCTTTGAACTTGCAGCAATCCTCCTGCCTCTGCCTCCCAAGTGCTGGGATCACAGGTGTGTGCTACCACACCTGGATGGCTATGCACGTTTTTTTAACTGCATAAAATTTTAATTTTTCAGATGGGTGTGGTGGCATAGGTCTGTAGTCCCAGCTGCTTAGGAGGTTGAGGTAGGGGGAATCACTTGAGCTCAAGAGTTAAAGGGTAGCCTGAGTAACAATGCCAGACCAAAAATGTTTAATTTCTTGCTGTGGGTTCTGCGCTATATCCCTCCTCCCCCTGCTTTTTTTGAGACAGGGGCTTACTGATTTTACAGGAATGCACCACCACACCCGGCTCTTGCTTTGGGTTTTAAAAGTTACTGTCATAGGTGATTTTTTCACCCTTCATTAGCCCTCCTTTTTTATAGCATTAGATCAGATAAATTTACTGTTTGTTTTTTTTTATTAAAATAATTTTATTGTCACACACACATACAGAAATTAAAACCATTCAAAGAAAAACAGTGCAAGGGGGAAAAAACTACAATAATATTCAAATACAGTAGAACTCAACCAAAACAAAACTGAAAAGCACTTAAACATTTTTCCATATAACTTAAAAAAATATCTCAAGCACCAACAAGACACCAGAGGATGTGATTTGTTTCAGAAAGATCCCCAAAACCAACATTGAACAAATAGTGGTCTGGAAAAAAAACTCCAGTTAGCTAGCAGACTCCACATGAGCCAAACTTCTGCCTAGTTTAAATTTTGATACAGTCATATGACACCCGATGGAAACATCTGAGAAGTATGTTATTAGGCCATTTCATCCCTGTGTATCCTTAACTACACTTTCAGTTTCTCACACTAGAGAAATACTGGTGATTTTGATCAATGCATCAACTGTGTTTTCTATGCCTATCTTGTTGAAATTATGGGATGTTCTCTCAGAATTTTGTTGTGGTTGAGGTGGTACTAGGGGACTGAACTCAGGGTCTTCACACTAATGTGATCTCCAGTCCTTTATTTTTTATTGCAAGATAGGGTCTTGTTAAGTCACTACATTGTCCAAGCTAGGCTGGAATCTGTGATCCTTCTCCCTCACCCTCCCAGAGTGCTGTGATTATAGCATCTACTACCATTCCTGGCTCTTATCTCAGAATTATATCATGATTTGGTTTGGGTTGGATTGCTATGCTATGCTATGTGGTCTCAGCTGGTCTTGAACTTGCTGTGTATTTCCAGGCTGGCTTCAAATTTGAGATCCTCCTGCCTTAGCCTCCCAAGTTCTGAGATTACAGGCCGTATACCCAGGGGTTTTGGTTTTCATTACTAAGGATTGAACCCAGGAGTACTCTGCAATTGAGATATATCCCTAGTCCTTTTTATTTTTCATTTTGATTTTGTTTTGTTTCTTTGAAATAGGGTCTCACTTTGTAGTTCAGGCTGGCCTTCAACTCACAGAGATCCTTCTGCCTCAGCTTCCCTAGTGCTAGGATTATAGGCATGTCCCATCTGTGCCTGGTACTGTTTTTTTTCTTAAGCTTATTTTCTGGTCCTTTATCTCAGCAAAGAGTGAGGCTTACAGCCCATATCAAAAACATAACAAATACATGACTTTCAGGGAAAGGAAGACCCGTAATGTAAGAGTATTTTTATTTATTTAAATCACTGTGTTCCTGTGACCAGTTACCCAAATTAATATCTCTCTCTCTCTCCCTCTCCCTCCCTCCCTCCCAGGACTTGATAGCAATGGAGCTCAGTGATGCAAATTTACAAACTCTAACAGAATATTTGAAGAAAACCCTTGATCCTGATCCTGCCATCAGACGTCCAGGTAAAGAAAATAAATGTTTTTTGATTTATTCTTTTTTTGGTACCAGGGATCAAACTTGTGACCTTGCGCTTGCAAGGCAGGCAGCGGAACCACTGAGCTAAATCCCTGGCCCTAGTTGATTTATTCTTTAAGCACTGTGAGAGAAATCTCTGCAGTCTGTCTGGTTGTTAATTTGAAAGAAAAAAGATTAGTACTTGGATTCTCAGGCATATTTATACTGTGTGGTTGGCTGCTTACAACTGCTTTAACATGGTGTGTTCTTTATTTGTTTTTTAATAAAAGAGCTTTTATTTGGTATCTTCTACCATAAAAAATACAGTTTAGGTTTAAAAAGCACCAATATATTTAGAATGTTTCTTCCTTGATCTTTCTGAAAAACTACTTAAAACTTGCTATGCCACAACACCTGCCTACTTTAGAGTTAAATATTTAAAGGCAGAGAGATGAATGATGAGTATAATTGCTTAAAAATGATTAAATGAATGAAATAAGTGATCCGATTCTGGTCTCTTCATCTTACTGCTAGTATTGATTTAGTTAACATCTTTTAAGACTAGAGTTTCTTTTTTCCCTCCTGAGTTTGATCAGTTTCCATTAGCAACTTTTAATGTAAGCTTAGAATTTCAACCTCAAATGTGAATTTAAATGAGGGTGGCTGGTAAAATGGGCACTGGTAATAGCATGTGAATACATGCTCTGGTTGAGGGACAGATATTGTTTAGAACCAGCTAACTTTAGGAATTCAAGCCTGTTTGGCAGATTAAATTTCCAACTTTGCTTGAAAAATAAGAATATTTATATGGAGCCTCATTTTTAGATGATAACAACTTTTTCCTAGTAGTGCTTAAACAATTAATATGTTCCTGGGTAAGGGGAAGTAGTTAATGACTCTAATCTTCTTAGAATTTCCCAGAAAGCCTTTGCCAACATCATGTATTAAAAATTATTTGTAGGGGCTGCAAATAATATGTATTATAGTTCATATAAAAAAGGGGAAGAGATTTTGATTATAAGTCTTCTAATATGAAAATTCTTTTACAGCTGAAAAATTTCTTGAGTCTGTAGAAGGAAATCAGAATTATCCACTGTTACTTTTAACATTACTAGAGAAGGCCCAGGATAATGTCATCAAAGTGTGTGCTTCAGTAACATTCAAGAACTATATTAAAAGAAACTGGAGAATTGTAAGTATTTAGTGAATATATAATACCCTGTATATTCATAAGATTTATATATACAGTGCTCTCAAAAGATGCAGGTAGAGATGAAAGATAAAATTAAACAGAGTCGTCTTCCAAACCTGTTATTTCATTTGAATTCATACAAATTCTTTCACTTTCATGACTGGTCTTTTTTTTTTTTTCATTTTGGTACCGGGGATCCAACTCGGGAGCTCTCGCTTGCAAGGCAGGTGCCAGAACCACTGAGCTAAATCCCTGGCCCTCATGACTGGTTACTAGAGAGTGTGTGACTTAGTTGTAATCTCCATTATAGTTAAAATTAACTCTAGATCACTTCTTTTTTTTTTTTTTTTTTTGGTACTAGGAATCAAATTCAGGGGCTCCTGCTTGCCAGGCAGGCACGGTGCTGCTGAGCTACATCCCCAGCCATCTAGATCACTTCTTAGTAAGATGTTTTTGGGAAGACAGTCTAAATGAATAATTGAAGTAATTGAAGTTTTGGACTGGGAAAATTAAAGCTAAAAATTTGGATATTAAAAAATTAAGCCTGTCATAGTGGCACATGCTTCGTGTGGTCCCAGTTACTTAGCAGGATCAGGTAGGATGATTACAGGTTTATGGCCCGTCTGAGCAGTACTTGAGATCCCATCTCAAAAAAATAAATTGAAGAATGCAAAATAATTTGAGGGTAGGGGTTTGGGTTTTTGCTGTACTGGGGATTAAACTCAGGGACTTTACTCTGAGCTATATCCCGAGCCCTTTTTATTTTTTATTTTGAGACAGAGTCTCACTAAGTTGGGCAAGGTGACTTGAACTTGGGATCTTCCTTCCTGCTTTAGCCTCCCAAGATGCTGGGATCACAGCATGAACCACCATACTTGGCTGAATGGAAAATAATTTAGAAATGTTATGTTTTGTTTTATGAGATGGGGTTTCGCTTTGTAGTTCAGACTAGCCTCACTCAAAATGTAGCCCTGGCTGGCCTCCAACTTCAGATAAGCCTTCTGCCTTAGCCTCCTGAGTGCTAGGATTATAACCATGTGCCAGCCACCATGCCTGGCTTAAATTTGAACCCCCACCCCCGGTACTGGGAACTGAACTCCTCAGGACTTTGCGCTTGCCAGAAAAGCCTAGCACCACTGAGCTAAATCCCCGGCCCTAGATTTGAAATTTTTGAGAAGGGATTTTGCTTGCCTTCTGTCTTATGAAATATGGAAATGCTGTATATTCTAATTTTATAATGAATCCTCTAGAGCTATAAGTATAATGACTAGTATAAAATTATAAATTAAGAAATAGGCATTTTCCCTACCTTAAGAGAGTTGATTCTCAGTTGAGGACAGTTTTTGCCCAGGAAGGGCACATTTGGCAATATGTGGAAACATCATGCTGGCATCTAGTGAGTGGGTAGAGACCTGAGACTGTGGTCCATTCTGCAGTATACAAGATGGCTCTTCACAACAAAGAGTTATTTGCTCTGGGATGCTGAGGTTGAGAAATGTCGCTTTATAATAAAAGAACACTGAAAATTATTTTATAATGATAACATTGAGGGCCAGGGATTTAGCTCAGGGGCACAGCGCCAGCCTTGCAAGCGAAAGGTCTTGAGTTCAATCCCCAGTACCAAAAACCAAAACAAAACAAAAAAGATTGACAACATTGATCAGTTTTTCTAAAAAGTCAATTTGAAACTTGTTCACATATGTATTTAGAAACTTTTAGCTGGACGTGGTGGTACATGCCTGTAATCCCAGCACTCGGGAGGCAGAGGCGGGAGGAATACCATGAGTTCAGGGCCAGTGTGGGCTAGCTACATAGTGAGTTCAAAGCCAGCCTGAACTACATAGTGAGACTTTGTTTCAAAAAAAAAAAAAAAGCTGGGCATGGTGGTACATGCCTATAATCCCAGAACTGGGGAGGCTGAGGCAGGAAGATCACAGTGAGTTCAGAACCAGCTTGAATGACATAGCAAGACACTGTCTCCAAAAAAAAAAAAACCAGACTTTTCTCAATCCCATAAGAGTTTATGAAACAATAAATACTGTTTTTAAGGCTTGTATAATTGGTCAAGTATTACCACATGTGATGAAATTATTTGATAAATGTTAGAAAGGCTAGTTAGGGCCGGGGATGTAGCTCAGTGGTGCCATGCCTGCCTGGCATGCGCAAGGTCCTGAGTTCCATCTTTGGTACAGAAAAAAAAAAGTTAGAAAGACTGCTTTAAAACTCCATCCCTCTGCTTCCCTCTTAGACTGCTTAAAAGTCCATCTGTTCTGAGCCGGGGATTTAGCTCAGTGGTTCTGCCACCTGCCCCGCAAGCACAAGGACCCAAGTTTGATCCCTGGTACCAAAAAAAAAAAAAGTCCCATCTGTTCTATTAGCCTTTTTTTTTTTTTGGTAGCGGGCATCAGACTCCAGACTTTGTGCTTGTGAGGCAGGCATGGCGACACTGAGCTGAATCCCTGGCCCCCTTCTATCTTGATTTATCAAACTAGAGAGACTTGTAGAACCTTTTTGAGTGATGTAGTTCAGAATATATTCTGATCAGTAAAGATGAAAAAGTTTTCATAGGCATAATCTTTGCTTTTAGGCAACAGTTAAAATGAAGCTTTCAAAGATGATTATGGATTAAGTAGCATATGTCTAAAGATTTTTAACCACATGTTCCAATTACCTTACATATAGAACTGAATTTTTTTTCTCCAGTGCTGGGGATTGGACCCTAGGGAAGCATTCTGCCACTGAGTACACCGTCAGCCCAGAACTGAAATTCTTATTGGTACCTGGGAGTTAAAGAACCTCATTCATTTTGTGTGTAAATTATTTACATGTGGGAAGGAATGTATATTATTTTGGGGAACGGGTTCACACTTCATCAGATTATTAAGAAAATCAGTGACCCATTCATGTAGAGAGAAATTGGAATGTCTGCCTACCTTCCATTTTTCTTAGAAGACTGAGATATTGAAAAGTATTTTTATCTGTATACCCACATGGAGATGAATATGGATTTGATATTATTGTTATTTTGCTTTTAGGTTGAAGATGAACCAAACAAAATTTGTGAAGCTGATCGAGTAGCCATTAAAGCCAATATAGTGCACTTGATGCTCAGTAGCCCAGAACAAATTCAGAAGCAGGTACTGTATCTCTGCTTTCTAGGTAGGCTCCTTTGTAAGGCTCTTGTCTAATTAAGTTTTTCCTTCTCTAGTTGAGTGATGGTATCAGCATTATTGGCAGAGAAGATTTCCCTCAGAAATGGCCTGACTTGTTGACAGAAATGGTGAATCGCTTTCAGAGTGGGGATTTCCATGTTATTAATGGAGTCCTTCGTACAGCACATTCATTATTTAAAAGGTACTGATGTACAAATTCGTTCCTTTAATGTATTTTTTTCTATTATATTTGCTTATATAGTTACATTTGTGACCATTGTTTGAATATCATTCTAGACTAAAAGCATAAGCCTCTCAGTTGATTGTATTTGTTTCTTCTCAAGTAGGTTATTTCATTGCCCTATTGCCTTTGTAGTGTACCCTTTTTGTTGCGGGGGGAGGCGAGTACTGGGGATTGAACTCAGGAACTTGCACTTTCAAGGCAGGCACAGCTTCACTGAGCTAAATCCCTAGCCCTGCCTTTGTAATAATTAAGTTTTGATCCATTTATAAAGAAAACCAAGAATTCCCTTTGAATTTCAGAAATCCACAAGTTATAGATATCTAGTCATAGATGTTAAATCAGCATCTTTTCTTAAAGACATAGTGAGTGGTAAAACTTCTGAACTTGCCTACTTTACATTAATTTTATAGATACCGTCATGAATTTAAGTCAAATGAGTTATGGACTGAAATTAAACTTGTACTGGATGCCTTTGCATTGCCTTTGACAAATCTATTTAAGGTATGTAATAGTATCTGGGTGATATTTTAAAATTACTTAGTATTTTAAAGTAAATAGTTGGATAAATTTTAAGAGGATACTTTGAAAGCTTACGTGATAGAGCAGGATTTATTTATTTATTTATTTATTTACTTATTTTGGTATCAGGGATTGAACTCGGGACCTTGTGCTAGCAAGGCAGGCGCCAGAACCACTGACCTAAATCCTCGGCCCAGCAGCATTTAGTTTTAAACTTTGAAACCTAAACAGAAATAGAGAGGATGTTGTAAAGAACTCTCTTATACAAGTTTAATAATTACCAACATTTTGTTCTTTTAATCTGCTCCCCTACTTTTCTAGGAATATTTGAAAATAACTCATAGACATCATATTATTTCACTCAAATTATGTGTTTCTAAAGAAATTCACTTTTTTTTTTTTTGGTACCCAGCCCTTTTCTTGCTTTGGTTTTTTGAGGCAAGGTCTCCCTTTGTTTTTCAGGCTGGCCCTGAACTCACTATGTAGACCAGGCTAGCCTCAAAGTCGCAGTGATCCTCCTACCTCAGCCTTCTGAGTGCTGGGATTACAGGCATGTGCCAGCATGCCCCGGCTTTACAGGCTACTTTTCTAGACATGTTCTTGGTATTTGCAAGAATTCTGTAAGACTGAAAGAAAACTTTTTCCAAGTAAGGAAAAAGGGGTTCAGGATCACAAAGCTAAAAAAAGAAAGGGAGCCAGACATGGTGGTACACACCTGTACTTCCAGCTTCTCAGGAGGTGAGGCAGGATGATTACAATTTCAAGGACAGCCTGGGCAACTCAGTGAGACATTGTCCCATAATGAAAAGGACTGAGGGTATAGTGCACTGATGAGAGTGCCCCTAAATTCAGTTCGGTGATAGTAATAAAATCCCAAGTGTGTACAAAGCTTTTCATAGTATATCATTTATTTTACATATGTATTTATTTGTGGTACCAGTGATTGAACCCAGAGTCTTTGCACTGAACTACATCCCTATCCCTTGGACAGATGTATTTCAGAATACTAACATTGGATTGTTCAGTAGTACTCTGTGGACAAATTAAAAATATATCCTTTAACTTATTTTTCAGACTCTCTTAAATAACTATTTACTACTATTTAGAAGCCACATTTTGGAGAAGAAATATGAGTAGCCTCAGCTAGTCCAAGACTGTTGTATTAAGATCAGCATGCTGGGTTTATGACACATTAAAACCTTCTTCTTAAATTCCTTTCCAAGGCCACCATTGAACTGTGTAGTACCCATGCAAATGATGCCTCTGCCCTGAGGATTCTTTTTTCTTCCTTGATTCTGATCTCAAAATTGTTCTATAGTTTAAACTTTCAGGTAAGTTTTTATTTAATTTCTTGTTTTTTGTACTTACTTTCTGATGCAATTTATAGACTACTTGGTAAATACTTGTCAGCTTTGTTTTTCTGAAATAAAAGCTTTTCTGATTATCCGTATTTTATCTTTTTAAACAAGATGGATCCTTCAGTATTGTCCATATTGGCTCTGAAATCCTGCACTTGGGCAATCCTTCTGCCTTAGCCTTTCAAATATCTGGGGATATAGGCATGCACTGCCATGTCCAGCTCCCCCTTTTTTTATGTACCTTGTTCACAGTGTTCTGTTTTATAGTATTTCTAGAGATACTAAGAGATGTTTTATGGAAAAAGTAGCATTGTCTTGTGTCTAGTAAGTGAAGAAAATATCGTAATTTATCCTTTTGGAGAGTCACCTTGTGTATAGTTTTATTCAGTAAAATTGAAAGCACAGAAAAACCAGATTTCTGAGACCTTTCTTATTGGTCCATTTACATGGATATTAACATTGGGGGAACTATATTTGGTTAAGGGTTCCTGGTTAGCTTATATACAAGTGCTTTTATTGGAAGGTATGAAGAAGACAGAGGCTGAATTACTAGGCTTTGGAAGGGGTTAGTATGAATGGCTCTTCACAGGAAACATGGCCACAGAAGAATTACAGCAAGAAATACCAGGTCACCCTGTGAGTACTGATATGGTGGCCTCCAATGATTCAGTCTATCTTTCTGATTTGGTTTTTTGAGGCAGGATCTGGTGTGTTGTTCAGGATGGTCTTGAACTCACTGTGTATCCCAACTGGCCTTAAACTTGCAGTGATCCTCTTGCCTCAGCCTTCCAGGTGCTGAGATTATAGGCGTGAAACCACTGAGCTAAATCCCCGGCCCAATTCTTTCTGTTCTTGAATCATTGATTTAAGATTCAGGCCTCTAGGACCATGAAAGGAACATTAATGCAGGTTATATACCAAGATATGAAACAAGGATTTGGACAGGTATAGTAGTGGTAGCTACTGTTAGGGAGTCTGAAGCAGGAGGACTGCAAGTTTAAGGCCAGCTTGGGTAACTTAGTAAAACCCAATAAAATTAAATAAAATTTTTTAAAATGATGATGATGGGTGTGGACACTTGTAATCCCAGTACAATGGGAGACTGAGGCAGGAAGAGGATAAGTTTGAGCCTTATTTGGACAAACTTAGCAAGACTCTATATCAAACTTTTAAAAAATTAAAAAGTCTGGGGATGTAGATCAGTACAAAGGGCCTAGTTTGGAAACCTAGTATTACAAAGAAGGGAGGGAGATTGATTGGAGGTATAGATCAGTTGTAGAGTGCTTGCTTAGCATGAGTGAGGCCCTGGGTTCAATTCCCAGCACTGCAAAAATAAAAGAAAAAGATTTGGCGTTTTCATTGTTCATGGTCAGTACTGGACTTATTCTCACAGCATGACTGCATTGACAGTGGTAGAGCATTCCCCAAGAGGGAATTAGATTCTCTTAGGTAAAATAAAAGATGAACAGCCCAACTAATAATGCCTCACATCAGTATTCAGCTGGACAACAGGTTGAGAAATGTATATTTAAATGAAGACCACTGCTTTTGCTTACACTTCATTTTGAATTCTACTGAGAAGACAAGAAAATTGAAGCTCTTGATAATTTGATAAGGAACCAAAGGAGGCATAATCTTCACTGTCAGGAATCTGTCTCATATTTCTAAGGAGGCAGTACTGTACTATACCATGGGAAATTGGCAACTGTATAAGACAGTTCAAATCTGTCACCTGTTGATGGGACAAAATATTCCATATGCACAATTTAAAGGTGGAGAGATTTATTTTGGCTTACAGTTTCAGTGTGTTCAGTCCATGTTCCACCAGTTGCAGGTAGAAAACTCATGTTACAATAGTAGGGCAGAAGAAAGCTGTTTATGTTATGGTGCCAGGAAGCAGAGGGGGGAGCAGCCAGGGACAAGAACACAACCTTCCAAGTCACACATCAGTGGCCCTCTATTTCTGACCAGGCCATAGCTGAATGTGATACTTTGGGGGCACATTTTAGGTCTAAATCATAACATTTCACCCCTGGCCCTCAAAAGGTTCTTGTTGATCTCAGTATGCATAATGCATGTAGTTCATCTCTCATCTCTAAGATTTGCCAGAGTCTTAACAGTTCCAGCATTTCTGGAGAATGCCACATCCAAAGTCCCCTCTGAGACTCAAGGCAGACTCTTAGCCTTGAGCCCCATAAAATCAAAATGAAGGTTAAATACTCCCAGTATACAGTGGCACAGAGTGAACATTCCATTCCAAAAGGAAGGAGTAATAGAATAGAAATAGGAACAAAGCAAGGCCAAAAACCATCGGGCAACTTTTAGGTTCTTTAGCTGCGTATATAGCAGGCAGGTTGTGGTGAGATGTGAGCTCCAAAGGGTTTGGGCTGGCTCTGCTCACTGCTGTGCTTTACTTGGCACATGTTCCACATTCCTGGTATACTGTCAGGCCTTCCTTTAAAATCTGGGTGGAGGGCTGGGGATTTAGCTCAGTGGTTCTGCCACCTGCCTCCCAAGCACAAGGTCCCGAGTTCAATCCCCGGTACCAAAAATAAATAAAAATAAAGTAAAATCTGGGTGGAAGCCTCCACAACTCTTGGACTTTACATAACTGGAAAACTAGCACACATGGATGATGCCAAGGTCTGCTGCCCACTCAGGCAATAGCCTGGCCCCCTTGGATCATGGCTACAGAAGCCTGTAGTGTTGACCACCAAGAAACAATGGGTAACCAATTCCCTAGATGACTCTTCTGGGGTAGGAGGGCTAAGGGATGGCTTCTTAATGAAAACTTTACAGTTTTACACCCTTAAGCCTGCAGTGGTGTGTGATCTTGCTGACTTTTCAGATGCCCTCAAGACCTCTTTCTTCTTGTCCCTATACAAAGTACTTGGCTTTTTTTTTTTTTTTTTTTTCCGGTACTGGGAATCGAACTTGGGTCTTTGTGCTTGCGGGGTGGGCGGCAGAACCTCTGAGCTAAATCCCCGGTCCCCAAAGTACTTGGCTTCTTTTTGATGCTGATGTCTTCAACAGCCATGCTGTCCTTTGTCCCCCTTTGCAGATGCTTCCTTTCTTGAAAACTAAAAACTCTTCAAATCATTCAGCTCTACTGTTTGTTCCTGGTACTCACTGAGTTTGGCTAAAACCAGTCACTAGTACCATTGCTGAAAGTACCACAGCCTGAAAGTTGGACTGTCTTGAAATTTTCTCTGCTAGATTAATTTATCTACTGCCCTTAACTTCAATCTCTTGCAAAGTCTGAAGACATGGGCAAAATGTAGACAAATTGTCTGTCTGAGTGTAGCCTACACAGCCTCTAGCCCAACAGTCAATGAAATCCTTGTTCCTAACTGAAATCTAAGCCTGGCATTTACTGTCTGCATTTGTAGCAGCATTCTAGTCTGAGCTCTGACCAGTATTATGCATCAAGATCTGTTCACAACATTCTAGGGCTTATTTAACAGGAAGCCCCAAGCCTTTCCAAACTCTTGCCACACACCAAAGACTTTCAAACAACAGTCAGACACATAGCAACAACAATTTGCTGTACTAAATTTCGGTTTAGTTTTCTGACCCTTGGACAAAATATTGGACAGCCACAATTTAAAGCAAGACAGGTTTGTTTTGGCTCACCTTTCAGTGGGTTCAGTCCATTGTCCACAGGCTCCAAGCAGAAGATGCATGGCAGAATTGTGTGGTGGAGGAGAGCTGCTCACATCTCAGGAAGCAAAAAGGAGCTGGAGCTGAGAGTACACCCTTCCAAGTCATGCCCTCACCAGTTCTCTTCTGACTGGGCCCTTCTAGAACATGAGACTTTTAGGGGACATTGTAGACATAAACTGTAAGAGTCTGAATTGATGGTCATACAACAATTGCAATAGTTTAGAAAGGAAAATAGATACAACAATAAGTGCTGAACTTTTTAAGGAAAGCCTTCATACAATCTTAGCTAGACTTTAAAGGAATAACTATATTTTGAATGGGACAGGAAATACTGTAGAGGGAGCATCCGTTGGTGAAAACATGCACTGGAGGCAGAAGTCAGAGTTCTATTCAGCTACCACAAACCTAGGTGGATCAGGAAGTCTTAGCACAATAGATAATGCTTCAGACTAAGAAGATGGGTGTTGAACCTAGAGGCGCATGCAAAACTTTTGGCATGGGTGGGCTGGGTGTGGTACACACCTGTAATCCCAGCACTCTGGAGGCTGAGGCAGGAAGATCGCTGCACATTCCAGGCTAGCCTGGACTACACTGAGACCCTGTCTCCAAAAAGAACAACAACAAAAATGACATGGTGTGCAGATGTATGTACTACATTAGTGTATTTTAATCATGGTCTCAGGTCACCAATTCTTTTTTAGGATCTCCCTGAGTTTTTTGAAGATAATATGGAAACTTGGATGAACAATTTTCATACCCTGTTGACACTGGATAATAAGCTTCTACAAACTGATGTAAGTATTTTAAATGTTGGAGTAACCTCTTTAAGAATTTTTTGGTAGGGGCTGGGGATTTGGCTCAGTGGTTTCGACGCCTGCTGTGCAAGCACAAGGACCTGAGTGTGATCCCTGATACCAAAAAAAAAAAAAGAATTTTTTGGTGTCTTATGAAAACTGTTTACTCTTGGATTGTTAATAGATAAAATTCCACAAGTTCAAGTAATGTTTGCTTCTGTTGGGTGTTCTCTTTTGGTTATGTGCAATACATAAGTTACTCCGAGCATGTCCTCAGTAAAATTTACAGGTACGGGTATTTCATTGCATTACTGAAAGCAAGGCCTTAATCACATTGTGAATATTTTAGGAAATAATTGCTTGTTGTTGAAGATACTTAAAACCTTAGACTTCTGTAATGATAGCCCCCTTTAAAAAAAATATCCGAGCTTGGGAAAATACGTAAAAATTAAAATGTGTAAAAGTTTCTGAAATTTTCTGAATTTATGTGTACTTTTCAACATACAGACCTTACCGTGGGATTTATTTGTACTTTTCAACATGCAGACCTTACCCTGTGCTATGTATTTGCTTGTTTATTAATATATTTAAGATCTTTCCTAAGAAACCATAAAACAAAATATAAAGAATACTTCAACACCAGATAAAATAAATTAGAAATGGTAATTGAAATCAGGTTTTTAAAGTGGGATATAGAGGTCAGGTGTGGTGGTGCATGACTATAATCCTAGTGCTCGGGAGGCTGAGGCAGGAGGATCATTGTGAGTTGAGGCCAGCCTGAACTGCAGTGAGACCCTGTCTCAAAAAACCAAAAAGAGAGAAAGAGAGAGAGGAGAAAAGCTGCCCTTTTTGTGAAATACATTTTTTTCAACAAGGAGCTGTTTGCCTAGGTAAGTACATGCTATCTTGTGTTGTCTCACTGGGTAACAACCCTAATATCTTTCTATTCTAGATTGGAGGACTTTGACACAAATCACTGTCATGGTTTAGATTGGGGTTGGCAAGTTTTTTCTGTAACAGTTCATATAGTAAATGTTTTCAGCTTTATAGGGCTATGTGGTCTTGTGTGCTATAACTGCTCAGCTGTTGTGATATGAAAGCAGCTATAGACAGCACTATACATTGTAAAAAAATGAGCATGGCTTTGTTTAATAAAAGTTTACTTGCAAAAATAGCAGGCAAAAAAAAAAAAATAGGAACAGGCAGGAGTTGGCCTACAGACCATAGTTTGCTGACCCCTGGCTTAGATTATTAATATATATGTATTATATGTAGATATATAGATATGTATTATATATATGGATGGGAGGGGTGGTGCTGGGGATCAAACCTAGAGCTTTTTTTGCATGCTAGGCAAATGGCTGTGAGCTACATCCCTAGTCCTGTTTAATACTTTATAACCAGAATATCATTTATGAGAATCCTTATGGTATTAGCTGTTTTAGGGATGAGACATCTACATGTTAATATATTTGAAATGATGAACTGCTTGAGAAACCAAACATGATACTGGAAGTATGATGTGATTTTCTTTTATACAGGTTTCTGTAGAAATATTTTCAATACAGTATGGAAATATTTTGTAATTTAGCAATCAAAAGAAATTTTATTCAACCAGAAAACCTGAGAGCTGCTCTCAGCGATTAATAAACAAGAAATCCCTCATTAGATTATTTGGATGTAAATTTTAAAGGGTCTTGTTCAGGAATTATAAGTTTCCCCTATTTATGGTAGCCTTCAAATTGTATATGTATGTTTGAATTTTCTCTTTTCTTATGTGAGGATGAAGAGGAAGCAGGCTTATTGGAACTCTTAAAATCCCAGATTTGTGATAATGCTGCACTCTATGCTCAGAAGTATGATGAAGAATTTCAGCGGTACCTGCCTCGCTTTGTCACAGCCATCTGGAATTTATTAGTTACAACAGGTCAAGAGGTTAAATATGATTTGGTAAGATGATGGAGAAGAAAAATAAAAGAAACTCACTCCTTGTTCCTCCCAAGAAATAAAGGTTGATCTTGCTCTTTAATATATTCCTATTTTATGTTTTATTTCAGTTGGTCAGTAATGCAATTCAATTTCTGGCTTCAGTTTGTGAGAGACCTCACTATAAGAATCTGTTTGAGGACCAGAACACGCTGACAAGTATCTGTGAAAAGGTTATTGTGCCTAACATGGAATTTAGAGGTAAGTATGGCAAAGTGAAGGCTTTTTGGGGAGTAAAAGCTGTTTATTAAAAAGTGCATTGGGAGGGCCAGGGATTCAGCTCAGTGGCTCTGCCGCCTGCCTCGTAACTGCAAGGTCCCAAGTTCGATCCCCGGTACCAAGAAAAAAACAAAATACAAAAAAATAAGTGCATCGGGGGGGTGGAGATTTAGCTCAGTTGTTCCGATGCCTGCATCACAAGCGCAAGGTCCCTAGTTCAATCCCCAGTACAAAAAAAAAAAAAGTCCATTAATGTAAATTTAATAAGTCATTTAGTTCTTATAACATATTCAGTCTAATTTTTTAAGTTACCAAAAATGATACTTAAAATGTACCAATAAAAGCATTTAAGGAGAAAAAAAATTTGCCAAAAATACTTGGAGGTATTTTGTGTTTACTAAACTAGTACAGAAAGTGTGACAGCATCCTTTGTATTGCTGTAATGAGCTTTGCTGTATACTTGGGGTTTGTTTTGTTTTCATAAAAATACTGGATAAGACTTTATGTATCCTCCTACATTGGGGAAAAATACAGCATTTTACTCATTTTAGGCAAATAGCTTTTTTGGGGGGCGGGGGGGGGCCGGGTACCAGGGATTGAACTCTGGTCTTTCCGCTTGTGCAGCAGGCGGCAAAACCACTGAGCTAAATCCCCAGCCCAGCTATTTTTAAATAATTGACTTTGAGAATAGGAGTGACTGATAACTTCTACATATGAGTTGAGGCCCACTTAGTTTGTGTAGGATTAAATAGTCCAGGGCCGGGGATTTAGCTCAGTGGTTCCAGCGCCGGCCTCAAAAGCACAAGGACCCGAGTTCAATCCCTGGTACCAAAAAAAAAAAAAGATTAAATAGTCCAGGGCCAGGGATTTAGCTCAGTGGTTTTGCCGCCTGCCCCGCAAGCGCAAGGACCTGAGTTTGATACCCAGTACCAAAACCAAAACAAAACAAAAAAGATTAAATAGTCCTAAGAGCCTGTACTTGTTTCTCTCTTCTTGCTGTTGTGAAGAAGAAGGTGTGAAGGTGTAGGAGATTATGTTTCATATCACAGCAGTTACTAGATCAGTGGTTTTCAAACTATCAGTCTGGAACAGAAGGAGTAAATTAAGGATAATATAGTGGGAGGTTCTATTTCCTTTTGTGCTTTCTTAAAATTAAGGACACAATCTTTATTCTGATATTGTTTGCCTTGCTTTTTTTTGTTATTGAAGTGACTTTTGTCAAGTAATTATTATAGTTGATGTCCTTATCTGACCAGATAGAAAATCAGCATTCCTGGATTAATCCCCAGTACTCAGTTTATGAAAGTCATGGACACTGTCACATCTCACAGCTGTGTGAATTATTTAATACAAGCCTTTTAGGGTGATGCTTACTGCTCTAGTGATGACTAGGAGTATAGAAAGTAGTCATTTGATGGGAAGGAATGCTTTGCTGTGTGTAGTAAGCCAGTTCTGCATACTCAGGTGTGGACTATAGTCACTTGTCTGTGTTTTGGGGGGTTATCTTCAAATATGTACTGTTGTTATAGCTGCTGATGAAGAAGCATTTGAAGATAATTCTGAGGAGTACATAAGAAGAGATTTGGAAGGATCGGGTATGTATTTTGTTTTTTTAGCTATTAGTAAGCCAGTTTTGACTTTCATTACACTGTTTTTTGCCTTCAGCTAGTATATCTTCAAAGAGCAGCTCTTGTTATCACCTGCATAGATGAATCACAAATTGAATCACTTGGGGCTGTGGATGTAGCTCAGTGGCGCCGTGCCTGTCTGGCAAGGACAAGGTCCTGAGTTCAATTCCTGGTACCAGAAAAAAAATTGAATCCCTTATCTTTCCTGTTTGGTATTCTCAGTAATGATTAATTTTATGACCTTTTCAGTTTTATTCTCATGTATATTTCTTATGGGGAAAAGAAATGTTCTTTTTATTGTGTTGCTGACAGTTATTAGGTAGCAATTTCTTTTCTTATAAACTGGATTAGTTGGTTGGTGGTTGGTTCTTTGCCCTAAGATACATTTTCTTTTGACTCTATAGATATTGATACAAGACGCAGGGCTGCCTGTGATCTGGTACGAGGATTATGCAAATTTTTTGAGGGACCCGTGACAGGAATCTTCTCTGGTTATGTTAATTCTATGCTTCAAGAATATGCAAAAAATCCATCTGTCAACTGGAAACACAAAGATGCAGCCATTTACCTCGTGACATCTTTGGCATCAAAAGCTCAAACGCAGAAGGTAAATCTTCTCAATGTGTTGTTTGTAAAACAGAAATCAGAAACCACAGAATTAAAAAAACAAATGATCTCTGAAAATTGGCCTATTCCCCCATGTAACTTGTTCTGATTAGAATTTAGAGTCTCCAAAGACAGTTTTATATTGATGTATTAAGCACTTGAGTTAGCCTTGTCTTCTTTATAAACAATGTATGTTTTGAAGTGTTCACCACCTTTTCTCATCCTTTTGGGGGATGTGGCCAGTACTGGAGATTGAACCCAGAGCCTTGTGTATGCTAGAGAAGTGCTTTCCTGCTGAGCTATGCCCCTGGCTCATCATCTACATTTTTATTTTCTACAGCTGCTTACATTTCTGATGTGGTTGTACATATAAGTATTTTGTGTCATTCTACCCTGTTACAAATTTGCTTTTTAGCATGGAATTACACAAGCTAATGAACTTGTAAACCTGACAGAGTTCTTTGTGAATCACATCCTTCCTGATTTAAAATCACCTAATGGTGAGTTTTGTGGAATTTTTCTTCTATACAACTACCTGCAGTTTTTATTTATATCATTACTTTGAAGTGATAAGGAAAAAAATTATAAAAGTTCTGAAGTGTTATGATATTCAAAAAACTGGTTCCTCTCCTTAAGTTATTATTTGTGTTGAGCCTAGAGTCTTGGTAAGTCACTAAGGCCAAATGGTGCCCTAGCCCTTGCCCATGTGAAATTAACTTTTGATGGAAAATATATGACTTGGTTAGAAGGATCTTAAAATAAGTGAGACTTAACTGTAACTTGGCTTTGTTATCCTTACATATGAATAGAAATTATGCTTTGGTGGTTTCCTTTACTTTCCCATTTGAAGGGTAAACTGAAAAACTGAAGTACTGCTGAGCACAGTGGCCCATTCCAGTGGTTCTTCCTATTTTAGAAGCTGAGACAGGAGGAAAACAAGTTGGAAGGCAGGCTGGGCAACTTAGCAAAACCCTGTCTCCAAAAAATGATAAGGGGTAGAAATTTAGCTCAGTGCTCTGTGGGTTCAATCCCTGGTGCTGTCAAAAAAAATAAAAAGTTAATAGGTTCCTGTATTTATGAGAGTATGTTGATCTAGATTGAGATAATTCTCCTTTTCAAAAATACTCCATGTGGATTTAGCTCAGTGGTTCCACCGCCTGCCTTGCAAGCGCAAGGACTCGAGTTCGATCCCTGGTACCAAACACAAAAAAAGAATTACTAATAGTTGGCTGGGGATGTAACTCAGTGGCGCTGCACCTGCCTGGCAAGCACAAGGTCCTGAGTTTGATCCCTGGTTCTGCCGAAAAAAAAAAAAAAAAAGAGTTACTAATAGCTGACTGTTTTTTCCATTGATTGTTGATTCTGGAGATTGAACCCAGGCCCCTACACATGCTAAGCAAGCCCTCTACCACTGAGCTACATCTCCAGCCCTGTTTTATCTCTTTCACTTATTTGTTTTCCGACCACTAGAGTAATTTAAGGTGAATCCTAGCTAGAGAAAATTATCTTTAATCAGAATAGCTTTAATTCTGAGAATATATTGATACATGGCCAAATTATTTTTGCTCAGTTATATATATAAGTGGTAAATGTTCATTTATCATGAAACTTCAAGGCAAGAAAAAAGGAAAAATTATTTGTAACCTTACCTAAATTAGTAACGGCATAGTAGATCATTATATAATTAACTGTGCTTTAGCTACTTGATATTTTGGTTATCATTTTTTCAAACTTATAATGTCGCTGATTTTTGAGTACAGTCCTTACCACTTAAGTAACTATGACTTCTTATTTTTTTAATAGTGAATGAATTTCCTGTCCTTAAAGCTGATGGAATCAAATATATTATGATTTTTAGAAATCAAGTAAGTAGATTTTTGTCATATGCCACTTAAGAATTTTATTGTAAATTAGGTTCTCTAATTTTCCATGTGATCATATTTGACATTCATGTCTGACAGAATTAATATTTCTTTACTGACTTTAGAAAATGCTTAATTTTCATTAGCTATCTTGTATTTTTATAATTTCACTAAAAATTGGGTCCCAAACAATGTCCATACATTGCTTATGGCTGATTATGTCCTAAGTCTCTTAATTTACAACAGAAAAGATTCCTCCGCCCTCTTCCTGTGCCTTTATTCAGAGATAAGAGTTATTTATGTTGGAGAGTTCCTCATATTCTACTTTCAGGTGAAAAAAGGCTGCATCCTCGTAGTTTATCTTGTTCCTCTGGTGTCTGTCTTCCTATACTGGTAGAGCTGGAGGCTTGATTACAGTTGGATTTGGGGTGGGGTTGAATGCATCATAAGTGTACTTTTTCAAGACACACATTTACTAGGTCTTCAGGTGAAGACTTTTCTATTATAAACAATTTTTAATAGCACTTTATTGCAATATGCACCATCTGCCTCACAAGTGCAGGGTTCAGAGTTTGATCCCCATTACCAAAAAAAAAAAAATTTTTGAGATATGGTTTCCATTATATACAAATCATTTTAAAGTATATATCTCAGTGGTTTTTAGTATATTAATTATGTTGTACATTCCACCGTCTCATACATAGATAATATAATTACCAAAATATATAGGAAACACAGGATAAATGTGAGTTTTCTCCCCTTTATCATGAATTAGTGCCTTAGCAAACTCACTAGACATCAAATGAGGGTTTTTTGATGCTCTAGTTCATTTTGGTCAGTAGGTCCCCTTTATGTAGTTTTCTGTGTCTTCTCCTATCAGGTACTTAGAGTCAACAAGTACATCCTTAAAATAACAAAATTCTTCAAAAGTATGATTCTTAAGATTGATGAAATATTAGTCTGCTTCTCCTTAATAAATACTCTATATTGTACTCATTTGTCTGCAAGATTTTCCCCTCATAGTTTTGTGCTCAGAAAAAAAATTGAAAAAATGAATAGGAATTGAACCATTAAGAGAAGTTTTGATTTTTTAACAGTATCATTTCCCATTATAACTGAGCTGGAAATAAGTTCTTAAAATCAGCAAACCCTTCTCTTCCAGTTGTCTTTTTCTCAAGTATAGAATCATTGAATTTACAGCTTGTATATTATTGTATTTTTCAGGTACCAAAAGAGCATCTTTTGGTCTCTGTTCCTCTCTTGATTAATCATCTTCAAGCTGAGAGTATCGTTGTTCATACTTATGCAGCACATGCTCTAGAACGGTTGTTTACTATGAGAGGGCCCAGCAACGCCACTCTGTAAGTATTTGATTTTAGTTTATGTATTTTCAGCTTAAGATGGGGACTATATATAGTATACTGGTCAGAGATATCTCTGAATGTTTTCATAATTTCGTAAGTAGTTAGAAAACTAATGTGTACTTTTTATTCATTAATACTTTCATTCCAGAAGAATTTGGGGCTGCTAACCAGAATACCTTCTAACAGTAAAGTTAATTGGAGCAAAGGAAAATAACAGTAGTAAAGTTAATCAACAGAAACGTGTTTAGAGGATCCTGTGTAGTAAAGAAGCTCTTAATTTTATTTGGAGTCTCCTAGAAGCTGAGGTGAACAGGAAAACTTGGAGAGTTAAAATAGTCACAATGTTCACAAGTTTAATTAAGGGTGAGACAGTTAGAAGGCATCTCTGAAGAGCCTTCATTAAGAGGATGCTGTGGAGTAGCAGTACTCTCAGCAGCATCATGGGACAGTTCTTTTCACATACCTATTTTCATACTCTCACTAAGTTCTGAGATGCAACACAGCCCAGGGAAGGGAGTTCTCTAGGGGCCAAGAAAGTAGCTCTTCTGGCCTGATTGAGAATAAAAGGTAAAAGAGTGGGTAGACTTATGTCTTTCAGGCCATTCTTCAGTGTTATTTCTTGAAACTGAGCTCTGGGTAAGAGATGAAAAATAGTTTAAGGTTCTTTGCTTCACCAAGAACTTTGAAGTACACGTGATCTTAGCCATTGTGAGGATGTCCTTTGAAATGAGTCAAGCCAGTACCTGTCTTCAGGCCCAGAACTGATAGAGAAAACAGCTTCCTCCAACTCCAGGAAAAATAGAAGCTGAGACCCCTGAGCTCCGGAGTGCCGTTCTCAGTGCTGATGCCTGTGACCTGAGGGAGGCCTTTGCAGTTTTAGATGATGTTGACTTTACTTGGGTCTTTGATTTGTTCAATTGCATTTGGTGCTGAGTGTGTATAAGAAGGAGCTTAACATGAGCACATGTAAGCAGTTATTTTTCAAAGCTCTCTGCCAACTAGGAGATGGCTCATTTTATGCCAAGAAGTGTGATTTAGTAGTTGCCAAGGGTGTTCCACAGTGACAGTCTCAAGAGTTGGTAGTGACTGAAAGCTGTTTTTTCATCTATAGTTTTACAGCTGCAGAAATCGCACCGTTTGTTGAGATTCTGCTAACAAACCTTTTCAAAGCTCTCACACTTCCTGGCTCTTCAGAAAATGAATATATTATGAAAGGTAGGCCGTTTCCCTGGTGTACAGATCCTAACTAAGCATCCATCCTCACATGGGTAAACGCTCCTGAGTTACACTCCTGAATCATAAACCGTTTGCTAAGAAATAGGTAGGTTTAGATATTAAGTGAAAGGAATGGTTTACTAATAATTGTCTCAGAAACATTTTGCCTTAGCTTGATGTAGAACCTCTCATTACAGAAAACATGGCAAACTCCATTTTTCCTTTCCTGGATTGAATTTCCAGATCGTGCAATAGCCTCTGATGACTGCATGCTCTACTAGGGCTTAGTAAAGATGTGTGCATGTGGTGCACACAGGTGCTGTGTCAGTGTGTCCTGGTGCCAGCTCAGACTTCAGGGACAATCACAATCTCAGTCTTCACTGTGGCATCTCAAAAGCCTTGCAAGTACCTGAGTCTTTGGAAACACTTTGCAAAGAAAACTAACCCTGAGCCTTCCATCTTGGGTCAGGATCCTGACAAAGGTCAGGTCCTTTAGAGAGAGAGAGAGTGGAGTGTGTGTGTCCAGGTGCATATTTGTGTGGGTTTTCAGCAGGGCAGTAACTGGTCTGTGGTCTTCATTATTGTTTCCTACGGTTCCTGAGAACACGGGGTATGTAATAGCTTCTCAAGTGAGTGAAAGGGTTCTGTGCTCTCACAGATGAGGGGCATTAAGCCATCCTCTGACCCTCTTAACCAAGGCCAGGGAAAGCCTTCCTCTAGGAACTGATGTCCAAGCAGAGGTGTGAGGGAGAGATATCAGTGTGTTGTTGAAAGGTGAGTGAGTCTTTAGCTCAGCTAGAAGAAACATCCTGTGTATGTTTCGGAGGCAGGAGAGGAAAACTCTCTGCCCCTTAGTTCTGGCCTATAGTAGGTACTTTGGTTAATAAGCATGAATTGGAAATATTTGTGGAAAGAGAACTGTCATACATTTAGCTTACAGATCTATTTCTTTCCCATGCCAAATGTTTTTGGTCATCTGTTAATGAGCAGTATTTTGCAATAAGGACCCTGTGTCTTTGTATGTATTTTCATATTTTGTCTTAGGTTTCTAATCTTGAGGGAGATCCATAGCTAGTTTTCTCTTTGTTTCTTGTAGGGTGATACCATGCTTCTTTAATGCTGGAGCTAGCCTTTTTCACCAGTTATTTCTGAACAAATGACCCGGCATAGTTTTTCTCTCTCTCACTCTGCTCTTCACCCCATGTCAGTCCATTGTTCTTTCCTCCTCCTTGCTGCTTTTGTCCTTTAGTTATTTTTATTGTTCCCTTTTGATTTTGTTAAGCCTTGGGCCTTCTAAAAGTACTCAGAATTTCCCAGGTAAATTTTGTTGCAACCCCTGTCTTAATTTTAAAAGGAAGGGAAATTGTTAAATGAGAGAGCTGTCTGGGGTTGTTTAAGCATCTTAAAATTGTATCTGTAAGTGGTCACCATACATTAGTGTTTTATTCTAAAGGTTAACTAAACTATTTTTTTGCTGTTTTTATATTTTACAGCTATCATGAGAAGTTTCTCCCTCCTTCAAGAAGCCATAATCCCCTATATCCCTACTCTCATCACCCAGCTTACACAGAAGCTATTAGCAGTTAGTAAGGTAATAAAGCCAATTCTGAGTATGAGTTTGGTTTTTAACTTGCTTCTCACTGGGCCTCAGAACTCCTTGGCACTGGGTGAGGTGTTGGAGAAGGTCTCTATGTGTGCTTCTGGCCTGCCATTGAGGCTTTTCCAAAAAGTATGAGGATGCTGACAGTTTGGAGATACAAGAGCGGCCACCTTTAAGTGTGGGCTCAGAAACTTGAATGTGTTTCTGTTCTCATTTCAAAAATAACATGTTCACTGTAGAAAATTAAGAAAATCAGATGACCGAGAATTTCTTTTAGATGCACTAAACAGACATAAAAGAGGCTATTTGGATTTCCATAAAATGGCAAAGTCATTGTATCTCTTCTTTCTTACTCTTTATTTTCCCCAAATGAAGTTTACTCCTCCACTAAACATTGTACAGATATTTTGATTCATATGTACTAATACTAAATTTTAAAAATGAAAAATGTGTCTAAGGTTGACAGAATGCCATTATAGATTCTTAATCCTAATTATGCTATAAATATGAAATAAATTGAGAATAGAGTAGTTATATTTCACCTGGTTCTGGGAAAGGGTCTTGAACTACTACTCTGGGCCTTGCGGGATGAAGGGAGAAGGGAAACAGAATCCTTGTGCTTCCCCGCAATGTGCATAGAATTCCTACCTTCTAATTAAACACATTCCTACCAGCTTGACCCACCCACGACTGTCCCATTGGGCTGCGTATGCCAGTGATGGTACAAACGGATCCAACCACTTTTTTTTTTTTTTTTTTTTGGTACCGGGGACCTTGCGCTTGCAAGGCAGGCACTGGAACCACTGAGCTAAATCCCCGGCCCCTGATCCAATCCCTTTTATTGATCTTTTTACTAATAAAATTAAATCAGAGCTGCCCAGCACCGAGACTTAAGAATTAAGTTAGAGCCACTGGCAGCGAGACATATAAATTACAGCCCCTTTGTGAATGTGTTCAGTTTTATATGCTGTCATTCCAAGAGAGGTTTTATTTGAATAGGGTTTCACTACTTAAAAAGAAAATTGAAAATGCCTCTACAGAAGATCATTAGTCTGTAGCTAACAGATGCTGAGGCCCAAAGAAGTTAAGGCTTGTGGTGCCCAACCTTGGTATCCTGGCTCTCATTTCTGCCAGCACTGTGTACAGTGATGGGTCTCCAAGAGCACACAGATTTGGGAGCTGAGACTTGTGTAATCACACCCCCGTGACTGAAGTGAGTTTATTTTTCTCACAGTGGACTTTTGACCATTAAAAAAAGTCCAAATAGGGCTGTGGGTGTAGCTCAGTGGCAGAGCTCTTGCCTAGCATATGCAAGACTCCAGGTTCATTCCCTAGGGGAAAAAAATATCTGGGTCAGATATTCTGTCTCAGCAGCAAGAAAGGTGACTAATGCATTTGTCAAAAATAAAAAATATTGGGCCAGGGATTTAGCTCAGTGGTGTCACCGCCTGCCTCGCAATTGCAAGGTTCTGAGTTCGATCCCTGGTACCAAAAAAAAAATTTAAATTCTATAAACAAGAACTAGTTTAGGATGGTGGTAATATTCTTTCTTTTTTCTTTTTAGTGCTGGAGATTGAACTCGGGACCTTGCACTTGTGAGGCAGGCAGCAGAACCACCGAGCTAAATCCCCAGCCCCTGGTGTTAATAGTCTTAATGCTAACTTTTAAAAAAGACAAGATGGCATCTATTTTAAATGTTTTAGAAAAGAGAGGTGTTTTGTTTTTGGTGATATTTAATACAGTTACTTGGATTATAACAGTAATTTTTCCCCCCGATTTTAGAACCCAAGCAAACCTCACTTCAATCACTACATGTTTGAAGCAATATGCTTATCCATAAGAATAACTTGCAAAGCTAACCCTGCTGCTGTTGTAAATTTTGAGGAGGCTTTGTTTCTGGTGTTTACCGAAATTTTACAAAATGATGTACAAGGTAAGTTTATAGGAAGTTAGTTGTTTTCTTTGTAATGGAGTAAAAGTGTTAAGATGGTTATAAAATGGAGCCTTCCTAGGAGATACGTGGCTTTTGTGTTAGAACCATTCATTCTGAAGCTGACAGCTGTTTTTACTTTTATCAACAGAATTTATTCCATACGTCTTTCAAGTGATGTCTTTGCTCCTGGAAACACACAAAAATGATATCCCGTCGTCTTATATGGCGTTATTTCCACACCTCCTTCAGCCAGTGCTTTGGGAAAGAACAGGAAATATTCCTGCTTTAGTGAGGCTTCTCCAAGCATTCTTAGAACGTGGTTCAAACACAATAGCAAGTGCTGCAGCTGACAAAATTGTGAGTCAGGTTTATTTTTAAGTAACTATAATTTTCTAAGGTAGCTTGGAGAAACTAGGGATGGCAGGTTTTAACATTTTCTTTGTTTAAAATAAGACAAAGGGCTGGCGATTTAGCTCAGTGGTTCCGCTGCTTGCCTCGCAAGGGCAAGGTCCTGAGTTCAATCCCTGGTACAATCAATCAGTCAATCAATAAATAAGTAAGCAAGTAAGACAATAAGAAGCAATTAGTAGACAATGGCAATGAGGGCTGGGAATGTAGCTCAGTGGCACAGCACCTGCCTGGCAAGTGCAAGGCCCTGAGTTTGATTCCCAGCACTCCCCCCCACAACCAAATGGCAATGAGTGTTTTACTAGAATTAGGTATTCTTTAGTTACTATTCACTTAAATCCATAGTGGAAAGTAAAAACCAGATAGTGTTCATTTTAAGAATTGCTGTAGCTCATTGTGGTAGGGAACTCCCCTCCGACGTGTTTAAGAAAAATTTGAGAGCAGGCTAATCAGATTATTCAATGTTGAGTCCTTTTTCAAAATATATATCACTTGTTTATGTACTGAAATTCTAATCCATGTCTCTTTTTTAACTATTTATTTTTTTATCTGATTTGTTGTAGCCTGGTTTACTGGGTGTCTTCCAGAAGCTAATTGCATCCAAAGCAAATGACCACCAAGGCTTTTATCTTCTGAACAGTATAATAGAGCACATGCCTCCGTGAGTATGAATGTAACCTATACATTAAACCAAGAATTTTGTTAGGTACTCAGAAAAATGCTGAATTTATATTGTTGCTTTGATTGAATTCTTTAGTGAATCAGTTGACCAGTACAGAAAGCAAATTTTCCTTCTGCTATTCCAAAGGCTTCAGAATTCCAAAACTACAAAGTTTATCAAGAGTAAGTAAATCTTTTGGATGTTTTATAGAAATAAAGAAGGAAAGTAGGTGAAACCTTTAGACTTTATGGTTATAAACTTGGCATATAAAATAACAATATGTTGGTGTTTTCCAAACACTAAATTGGTTTTGTGTGTATTGTGTTCCAAAGGTTGGTTTAAGTTTTGACATCAAAACACCTTTTCAAGCTGGGTGTGGTGGCGCACGCCTATGAGCCTATGATCCCAGCACTCGGGAGGCAGAGGGAGGAGGATCGATGTGAGTTTGAGGCCAGCCTGGACTACATAGTGAGTTCATTGCCAGCCTAAACTACAAAGTGAGACCCTGCCTCGAAAAAAAAACAAACACCTTTTCAGTAGAATTAAAATTATAAAGAAGTATATATCAGATTGTGTGTAAAGGACATTATGTATGTTAAATTGTGTCAGAAGGCAAGTACTGATGCCAGTTGGTTATAGGGTTCTTTTGGGGGTTTTTTCTCAAATTCTTGTATTAGTACATTTTAGGTAAATAATACATTTACATTTTTCATTGGGTTCTTGTACCTGTACATGATGTATCTTGGTTCTTATTTTTTCCCCATTACCTGTGCGCCCTTCACCCCCTCCACTCCCTATTTACATAGACTTTGTTTCCACTGGTTATAGGGTTTTAGTGATACTTACCACTAAGTTTCATGTGGCAGACTTCTAGTCAATTAGTAGTTTAGTGTGGTGCGTCCTATATTGATATTCTCTTTTTTTCAACAGGTTTCTTAGTCTTTATTAATTTGTATTGCATAAAATATGGGGCCCTAGCATTACAGGAAATATTTGATGGTATACAACCCAAGTAAGTTTGTTTTTCATTGTTACATTTTAGTTTTAAAAACAATAATTCACCTCCTTTAACGTAAACCATTATCTCTATCTTACTGATGATTTCATGGTTTTTTGGTTTGAAGATATTATCTTTGTGATTTTTTTTTTTTTTTTTTTTTGGTACCAGGGATCGAACTCGGGTCCTTGCGCTTGCGCAGCAGGCAACGAAACCACTGAGCTAAATCCCTGGCCCATCTTTGTGATTTATATTCTTAGATATAGAGTTGTGAAGAAAAAAATCATGTAATTATTTTCTTAATTCTGCACTGGCAGCATCTTTCTAGAGAGCACAACCTATGTATGCTCTCTTTATCCTGAACAGTAAAATGGCCACATCTTTGATCCACTTTTCCTACATCAGAGCATTGTTAAAGCATAAAGTGTAATGATTTTGCATCATTTAGAATTGTGAAAAACTTTACTTCTAGGATGGCCAGATCATGTTTTAAATTTTTTTTTTTTTGGTACCGGGGATCGAACTCGGGTCCTTACGCTTACACAGCAGGCAGCGAAACCACTGAGCTAAATCCCCGGCCTGCATGTTTTGAATTTAACACAATTCTATAAGCAAAGAAAGTTGGGAAATGTATAATCCAGAAATATGTAAAAATTAGTACTGCATGGTAAATGGGTTGTTTTCCCTTAAGCTGTGCTAATTTTTCAGAGATCTGAGGAATTTTTTAAAAGTGCATAAGACAAAAAGTTGAAGTAATATGAGGATGTTTACTTCCAAAAGACAGTTACCGAGCTGGGTACAGGGTGGGGTTTAGTGGGGTTTGAGTTTGCCTTGTCGTCTCCCGTTGTTTTCGGCTGACCAGGAACAGCAGTTGTCCAATTTAATATTAAGTAATTTATTTTACTTTGATGAACAGAATGTTTGGAATGGTTTTGGAAAAAATCATTATTCCTGAAATTCAGAAAGTATCTGGAAATGTGGAGAAAAAGATCTGTGCAGTGGGAATAACAAAATTACTAACGGAGTGCCCGCCGCTGATGGACACTGAGTACACCAAGCTGTGGTAAGCACTTCCTCAGACTCCAGGGAGATGGCAGCTTTCGTCGTCCCATCTCACTGCACAATCAGGCCTTTTCCCCTAGGGGCCAAGAGAATTGATTTCTGAGCTCCACTTCTCTGCTAGTAATGTCCAGATCCAGGAACCGACTGGGTCTTCCTAGGTCTAAAAAGATAGTGTTCTTAAGGTTGGTGGTGTGGGTAGATTCATGGACCTCTTTGTGAGTGGTCTAGATGGTGTTCTGAGACTGCTTTGTGACAGTCTTGACCAAGACAGAAACCCAGCCAAGCTGCAAAAAGTAATTTAAGGGAAAAGTGCTGCATAGGCCAGAAATGATCTTCCGTATCCATACTTGGCGTTTTGAGGGTCTTCCTGGTCATTACTGCTCGCCTTGCATTTCCTCCTCTTGGTTTGTCTGAGGCAGCTGTTCCACAGTGACCTGGCAGCTGGACGCTTTCTCCTCTAACAGCTCTTGAGCATTAATAGACCTTGGTTTGGCTTGAGATGGTGTCATTTCTGAAAAACAGGGTGCTGTACTCAAAGGAACAGAACAGTTTCTGGATAGGCACAAGCACTGGTGGCTGTCTTCATTTCAAACACCCCTGTCTACTCTTCCTTTTTCGGGACCTTGTGCTTTCGAGGCAGGCGGTGGAACCACTGAGCTACATTCCCCTCACCCCCACTCCCTGGCCTACTCTTGAGACTGTGGGTCTGTATTTCTGTTTCTGAGGAATTGCTGCTTTTGTTTATTTTTCTTGAGGTTTTGTCTCTTGCTTTCTCCCAATTTAGGACTCCTTTATTACAGTCTCTCATTGGCCTTTTTGAGTTACCTGAAGATGACACCATTCCAGATGAAGAGCATTTTATTGACATAGAAGATACTCCAGGGTATCAGACAGCCTTCTCACAGTTGGCGTTTGCTGGCAAGAAAGAGCACGACCCTGTAGGTCAAATGGTGAACAACCCCAAAATTCACCTGGCACAGTCACTTCACAAATTGTCTACTGCCTGCCCGGGAAGGGTAAGTGTCGTCACAGAGCTATGTGCCTGGTGGAGACTTCACTAGGAAGGAAAGAGGGTAGTTGTTATGGTGCCTGTTTTCATCGGTCACCATAATCATACCACACCCCATTGCGTTTAGGTAAAGCACATTTTTAATTTAAACAAGAAGCCTTTTTTCCCTAGTGTTATGTACTACAAATATATTTTAATAGTTTTAGAAGTAAAGGTAAAGGGAGAAAAATCATTTGAATAGAAATGTATTTCTCAATTTCAAATAATCCTGTTATTAAAATGTGGCACTGAGGGCCGGAGATTTAGCTCAGTGGTTCCGGCGCCTGCCTCACAAGCGCAAGGTCCCAAGTCCAATCCCTGGTACCAAAAAAAAAATCAAAGTGGCATTTAATGGCTACATGCTTGTATTTAGCCATCATCTTTTTACAGTGTTGCTATCTGAATGTCTGACATACATAGAGACAGCATAACAAACCCTTGTATACCCAATTTCAACAATGACAAATATTTTGCCAGTCTTTCTTTGTAGAGAATTAGAGCAAGTCTTAGACATTAATATCATTTCACCCAGAAGTACTTCATTATGCATTACATTAGTAAGGATATTTTTAAAACCTAATCACAATGTAGTATCACACTAATAATTCCTCACTGGATCTACTTTTTTTTTTGGTACTGGGCATCGAATGCGGGTCCTTGCACTTGGGAGGCAGGCGGTGGAACCACTGAGCTAAATCCCCGGCCCACTGGATCTACTTTTTAGGCCTGTCCATTTCTTTTGAGACAGGATCTTGCTAAGTCACCAAGCTGACCAGGCGAGGCTGAAACTTCCAATTTTCCTGCCCTGACCTCCCAGAGTGGTGAGATTACAGGTGTGCACCACCACACCTGGCTAGGCCTTTCCAATTCTGAAGGCATAAAAACAGCCGAGTTGCTTGGAACTCCCTTGGACATGGATCAGGGCCTGGCTGCCCTTCCTGAGCTGTGGCAGCCCCACAGGAGCTGGGCTCTCTGGGTCAACAGCCAGCAGTGGTTTCCATCTTTTGTAGGTTCCATCCATGGTAAGCACCAGCCTCAATGCAGAAGCACTGCAGTATCTCCAGGGATACCTTCAGGCGGCCAGTGTGACACTGCTCTGATCTGCGTTTTCCTGACTGGCTAAACCCACTATGGGTTAAGAATTTATGTAGATTTGTGAGCACAGCTGCGTTCAGACAAAGCAAGTTTTCCTTTTGAACTTGTCCCAGTTTCCATCTTATAAAGGATATAGGGATATTGTTGCTTCAAGCTGAACTTTGAGCAAACTCGATGGTTTGTGTGATCATAAATATAAGTGGATGACTTGTTTGCCACTTCAAGAGACAAATACTAATAGTTGCGTGTACAACCTTGATTTGAGTTGAGCATTTGCACGGTTTGTATCATTTTAAATTTTTGACAGACACTGTGGAGACTTCTTTGTTACTAAATCCTTTTGTTTTGAAACTATTGGCCATTTGTATTTCCTTGTCCTTTGTGTTTAACCTTTTCTTGAAAAGGTCAAAAAGAAATCATTTGTGTAATTTGCCAAGCAATGTACACTTCATAGTTTTAAGTCTGTTTTAAGCAATAAATCCCTGAAATATGTATCTAAGAACATCTTAAGGACAGGTTTCTGGTGCTCCCTGACACTTTTTCATAAAAGAGAATTTAAGTTTCTCCCCTTTCTCCTCTGGACTCCATAAAATCCTAATTTTGAAATTATTTAAGGTTAAGCTGTCTTACACACACACGGGGAAGGGAGCATTAATATAAATCTGGAGCTTATCTACTACAACTGTGTAGAGCAGCTCCTGGTTGGCTGCACAAGAATTTGGGCAGGTGGATCCCCAGTGGGAGAAACACTGCTGGCTTCCGCTGAAAACACTTGACAGCAGGGATGGATGAACTTTTTCCCAGGAACCCCCTTCCCTGCAGATCAGAGGTCACTTGGGACTTTTCAGGCTGATACCATCTTAGAAGCTTGAGTTCCAGGAGCCACAGAAAATGTGTAGTCACCCTGCTGCCTGCCTTGGCCTGACCTGCAGTGTTGCTACAGCATTTGGGTTTTTTTGCTTTTTTCCCCCCAGTACCAGGATCAAACTCAGGACCTTGCGTTTTCAAGGTAGGCGCAGTGCCACCGAGCTAAATCCCCGGCCCAGGCTATAGCATTTTTTTTTTTAAGGAGTGAAGAAGCAGAATGTCCAAATGTTCGGAAACAGCTTACTTATTTTGGAATTGTTAATGGTAATTTGTCATAAACTGGAACCTCTTTCTGCATGGTGATTTACGTTTTTATAGTGTTAATTTTAAGTTACCTAAGCGTGTTTCTACCATCTGATCTAAGTTTTGTTGCGGTTGGTTTTTGTTGGCTTTTACAAGGTAATGAAAACAGTAAATTTAATTACTATTTTGGCTTGAGTGGTCATTGAAGGATAATGAAATTTTATTGGAATGATTTTTAAGGTAGTTTTGTTAAGCAAACTAATGCCACATAGGGAATTGATAGTAATGGTTCCTTTGTGCATATGGCTTTGCTCTTGCTGAAGCTGCTGGTAAACAGTTAAAGATGTGCCACAGCAGTGATTTACTGGAGGATGCTGGGTTCATTCTGCATCTTAAATCCATCAAGTTCTGAGTGTTTTCCTTCCTTAGTTCAGAACAAAACAGACACTTCGTCTTTGTAAATGCCAAGCGGTTGTGCTAACGTGGCTTCTATGGAAGACTAGTGCGTTTCTTTTGGCCCAATTAATAGTTAAATTTCAAATATGCTTTCTGTTGAGGACTCTTGTTCCACCATCCAAGACAGTTTTTGTGTATGTCCTTTAAAGATTTTGTTAAGATCTAGCCTGTCCCAGCCCTGGATTCCTCTGCTATGTCACCATAGGATACACTTTTCTGTTCCAGGAATTCTTTGCTGGTGGCCTTTCCTTCCCATATTCTCTTGCCCTTTGCTGTTGTTTAAGGGATGTTTATGGTGGATATACAAATATAGCGTCCTTGATGCATGGTTCCAAACTCCCAACTTTCCACTACTTGAACAACAAAGTTTGAAAAAAATCTTTTCAGTGTTTTTAATTTTGCTCGATTGTCTAACTCAAAATCCAGCTTGAAAAGTCAAGAATACCTGTATGGGCCAAGAGCAAGGCACACAAAGTGGTAACCACAGCTCTAAAGAAAGTTAGTGATACCAGCAGTAAAAACTAAGAGGAAAACTGTGAGAACCAGGATAGAATGAAATCACTGTGAAGTTTGTTAAAACCCTGGAAAAATGAATATTTAAGTGTAATTTTTGGGCCTTAGAACCAATCATTTGGTTTTTCCCTTATGTAAAAAATGTTCAGTTCTCAGACTTTTCAGTGTTTGAACACAAATTTAGAACAAACTGAGTTCAACAACTGAGATATCACTGTACATGTGCTTGGCCTTACAACCAAGAGCACCATCCAATTTTTGCTGTCTTCATTCTTTGCTTTTGCCTCTTAGCCTGCTTTTTGGTTTTGTGGCTTTGTTAACAGGTCCATATCCTTATTTTCTAAGATAACAGAAATTCACCAGGTCACACAGCTGGATGGAGCTGGATTGAAGCCCAGGCAGCCTACCTTAGCCACTATGGCATGGCTTGGCACAAGTTTTAGAAACAGTTACAAGGGCACGATCCTGAGGTGCTCTGCTTAATGAACAATTTTCAAAATAGAAACGCCATCAGTGTTCCCTGGTGATGTGGACGTCACCCTGCTGTCTCCAGGAGCCCCTCTCCATCCCCAGGCACTGTCCTGTAACCAGCCTGATGGGTGTGAGCATTTGTCCCACTTTACCAAAAGCCCAGTGTTTGCTCTGCAACACAGTTCCAGTCCTGCTTGTTCCCTGAGAAATATGGAGGCTTGGTTCTATGACCGCAAGGCAAGACCCATCCTTAGGGTCCACTCTGGGTTGTCTGGAATATTTGGAACACTGCTCTTTGGTAGAGCAGACCCTCCACGGAATCTTTGGAACAAAGAAAGAACCCTTAGTAATAAGGAACATGGCCTGCAAGCTGTGGGCCAGTGCCCTGCCTCCCTCCATTCTCTCAGGTACTGCACATGGCAGGGTGAAAGGCTGTTTTGCACAAGTTCACCTTGCGCCTGGGGAAGGCAGCTGCAGCTATATGAACATACTTACCTAGCTCTAGGTTTCTTCCCTTGCAAACTGGATGATGTGAGAGAAAATTTTGGCAGCACAAAAGCACCATCTGTAAAGACCATGCCACAACAGATGGGGAGTTTCTTAGACTGGATGGGAAAGGTGAATGAGAAGCCAAATGGAGAAGAGGTTTCTCACCATGCACTGGAAAAAAAGGCCCATCTTCCTGCAAGCAGTTCAAGGTACCCCCTTTTAGGGTCTGCAGGGGGAAATGGCTCCTCCACGATCCTGGGTTCTGCAGCAAATGGCAGCTGAGAAGAGGTCCTGACCCTCTCAGAGTGGGTCCAGAAGGGGTCGTGCACCCCCTAGGTCCTGCAACCAGGTGGAGCAGTAGTGCTTGGTGTCCTAGGGATGTCAGGCGCCCCCTCAGAGCTGACATCAAGCTGGAGCCAGCCCCATGCAGGAGCAGGAAAGCCACCTGTGTCCTTTCTGAGACTGTTGTCCATGGGCTTCAGACAGATAGCTCTCAAATGGGGCACCCTGGCCAGCCAGCTAGGGAGCAGGCATCGAGTAAAGCCCACTGCATGTCCCATGCACTGCAAATCTCCAGCCATCTGAGATCTGATGCCTGTGCCTGGAGCCCTTTATCTAGTCCACTGTCCCAGCAAAAACACTCAAAAGCCAAACAACATACTGGCTGTGGGCTCAACCAGTGTTGCTCCAGAGGCAGCTGAGGCACGCCATCTGCAATCCAGGTGCCAAGGGATAGGTGGTGCCACCCAAAGGAACCTTGGTCATTGTTATGGCTTAGATCTAATCTAAAATGGCCCCCAGAGTCTTGTGTGTTACAATGGAGACTGGATTGTGGGGGTTGACAGCTGACTTCTGTTAAGAAGTGGGAGTCTGGGCGGAAGAGGTGGGTCACTCTGGGCATGACCTCAAAGGGAGGGCATCTCCCCTGCCGTGAGGTGTGCTTTCCTCTGCCAGTCCCTTCCACCAGGCTGCTTCTGCCTGGATCTGGCTGAACATGCAAGGGGTGGGACTACTGAAACAGGAGCCAGTATAAACCTCTCTTCTTCGCTGCAGTCTTCAACCATGTTCAGTGTTCTTGTCCATAAATCCAAAAGGCCATGAAAGTAACTCATTAGGAAGAACCCAGACAATTTTCAGACGTGTATTCCCACATCGTCATCCATCTACCAGGTGTGCATACACTCAGCATACGGTAGACACCTGCCAAGGGAGTAAGTGCAGAAAAAGAAAGGCCTAAAGCCACCAACCTTAAGCGTCCTCTGGACAAAAACACAGAAATTGGGATCTCCCTGCCCCCCCAGGTTTGAAGCAGATCCTACAGAACAGTCAAAGGGGACACAGAGGTTCTGACAGACCCTTAGTGCAGAGTCCCCAGGACCCAGCACCTGCCAGTCCATGTGAGCTGTGACATCAAGGGTCTGCTGTCCCGGGGGCTGGGGATTTAGTTCAGTGGTTCTGCCGCTTGCTTAGCAAGCGCAAGGACCCAAGTTCGATCCCCAGCACCAAAAAAAAAAAAAGAAAAAAGGTCTGCTGTCCCTGCAGCCTAAGGAATGGAGACCATCACCATGAGCTAAGGGCCACTTCAATCCACACGTGAAGGAAGAAGGCCCTGTCACTGGGCCTGCCTGGGCCCCACCAAGCTCTGAGGCAGCAAGGTTAGAGCTCCAAGCACGCCCCAGGCTCTACATGGCCACAGAGGCCAGCAGGGTGGATGACAATGTCACAGCTGTGTGGGAAGCAGGAATTTAAAAACTACTACCACTGCAGCAGCTTCTAGGGAATGTGAAAGAATGTACAAAGGAAGTATTTTTAAAATATGAAGCCAGTTAATAGCACATTGAACAAACCAGTAGAAATTTCCTAAATTACTGTTTTTGCTAACAAAAATTAGTAATTACAAAGAGAATGGTATTTTAAAGATGGGTTTCATGTGTACATTGTGTATCTATATACTTCACATCAAACACACCAGTACAAGTACACAGAGTAGCAAGGGAATTCCAAGAAAATGGTTGTACTGCTTCATTAACCAAAACTCCCACCCTCTATCTTTGAGTAGGCTATTGCTTCCTTTAAAAGCCTATTTAAGAAAACTGGCAACTTCCCTACCAACCCATCCGTGCTTACATGCTTGACAAATCCATAATTTGTGGATTTTGAAATTCCAAATTTTTTTCTCATTTAATCCCTCAATTGAGATGGTAGTGATATGCTTCTCAGGTTGTGTTTACACACAAACCAAACCCACGCATCTCCAACCTCAGGCTCCCTGGTTGTCCCAGTCTACTGGTTTCCTAGTGGCACCTACGCGGTAAGCAGCAGCAGCCTATTGGGAAGGTTGAGCCCCGGGTCGGCCTCGGCACAGAGTTCACCCTGCTGTCAGCCTGGAGGACCTGGCCTCAAAGATGACATCCATTTCCTTGAGCTGTAGTCCACATTGCCCTGCCTTCAGAGGCCTTTTTAAAGACAACCACACCCTGCTTGGGTGTAAATGCTTATAGGTAAAATTCTGTGTTTAGATCTAGCATTAAAATATTTCAGGGAAAAATGGGGAAGATGAGGTGAGGTTGAGAAGAGCAAACTGCTGACCTTGTGAGGGGGAGGCTGCAAAGAACCCAAGGTGCTGGAGGAATCAGTATAAAGGGGGGCTTTAAAAAATATATAGAAGGTGGGCCGGGGATTTAGCTCAGTGGTTTCGCCGCGTGCTGCGCAAGTGGAAGGACCTGAGTTCGATCCCCGGTACCAAAAAAAAAATATATATATATATATATATGTATGTATGTATGTATGTATAGAAGGCCAGGGATGGAGCTCAGTGGCACCATGCTTGCCTGGCAAGCGCAAGGTCCTAAGTTCTATAGATAGATGTGTGTACGGCTAACTCCATGTCCTAGCAGTCTGCAGGGGTCCAACACTAATGCTTCAGTAGCAGGGAGAGCTCAGAAATCCCAGACCCTAGTTTCTAAATCTGCCACTGGAAGGAACAAGGGCTCCCTGGAAAAATGGCTGAACCCAGGACTGAAGACAGGAAAAGAGAAAGAGGAATGACCCCCAGATATCTCAATGTGCATAAGATCATTGTAGCGCTAAACAATTGATGGGGCAAGTGATTTTTTTCTGTAGGAACAGAAAAGCCCACCCTAAACTTCATATGGAATGTGAAAGGAACCCGAGTAACAAAATACAATCTTGAAGTACAGAAGCGGACTCACATAGCGATTTTAAAACTTGCTAAGGCTGGATGTGATGGTGCACGT